GTAGGCCATGGAATAATCAGCTGAAGTTGCAACAACCGAGATTCAGGCTGGACATCAGGAAAAGCTTCCTCACTGTCAGAGCAACACAACAGTGGGACCAGCTGCCTGGAGGGGTGGGGGGCTCTCCCACAGTGGAGACATTCAGAAAGAAACTGGGCAGCCCTCTGGGTGGGAGGGTGTGACTTGGTGTCCTGCAACAGCGGGGGGCTGGAGCCGATGGCCTTCATGGCCCCTTCCGACTCTACTATTCTATGATTATTTGTTGTCCCTCATCATCGGCGATTCATATATCTATAGAAAAAAGACAGACACTGATTAGAAGCAGAACCCCAGTGGAGGTGCTTGCCAGGTCTTTGCTTTCATGGTCATCTTTAGTGGCACCGTGAGTTCGGAAGTGGCTGTGAGACCATTGACAGAATGAATCTCTAATCATGGATTTTGTTCAGTGCACTTAATACGTTCATTCCTGCATCTTCTCCCTCTGCCCTCATCCTTGTATCACATAAGGATACAACCATTTCCAAAGTTTCTACTACTTTAGGTTTATATGGCAAACTGGATGCACCCCAGCGCATGACCAGGTGCCTCTGAGAACCAGGATGCAAAAAGCACCTCTGTTCACCCCCACTGGTTTCCCTATCAAGAGAGCTTCACACCTGTGTCCTTGAGGCAGGTGTGATCACGGTGGAACGGGTAAGCCTGCACGGGGCAGGTGCTTTATGGATGCTCCAGATGCTTGGGGAATGGGAGTAAATAAAGGCTGGGTCTCCTTTGCTGCGTCAGAGGAAAAAAGAATGCTAAGTCTACAGAACTGTTTGTCTTAAGACCTGTATGTGAAACTGGTTAGACTTACAGAGTATTTAAACAAGACAGTGAAACAAGCTTTAACTCTGACTCTTGCTTTCAGAAGTGCATTTATTTCCCCCAGCCTTTCTTACATTTATTTTCCTCAGCCCTCTATCTGGTTACGGTTAGTCCATTTCTGTTCTGTTCCTTTGTCCAGAACGTGTTGCAGGAAGGCCCGCTTCACCGAATAAGCAGCTTCTCTGATTTCCCCTTCTATACAGATCTGAATTTCTTCTGCAGTCCTGACATGCTCTAACATGTGCCCAAACTACTAGCCACATTAAGCAAAATATTCTGCAAAGACACAGGTTAATACAGTAGGGATGCAACTGAGCCGGGCTTCCTCTGGAAGATCACCAAGCACCGCATGTATCCATGCCCTTCTCTGTGTAGATGGATTCCAGTTTGCTTACGTTCACTCTGACATATCCTGCCTTAAATTGGTATCCTGCGTTGAGGAGGGGTTGGGCCCAGTGGCCTTACAGGCCTCTTCCAACTCTGCTCTTTGTGGCAAGTCACTGTAACCATTTGGTGAATAGCTTCCTCTTTGAAATTTTACTGGTCACTTCTAGCAGGCTTAACAGCCATTCTTTGTCCCTTCTGGGTGAGCCTCAAGAAGGGCTGAAAGCACCAGATCCCAGATCTATTCTGAACAACCTTTAGGGCATCTGCTGAAGGCACAAAGAGATACCTTCCCATTGTGTCTTGGAAATCCCACCTAGTACCACTGGGATTTTAGTTCTCTCCCAAGAGTTTATGGCATGCTTGTAAACAACTACAAACAGAAATTTTGCTTCTAGATGGCCAAGCAGAAAAGCTTTGCAAATCCTCATTCTATTTCTCCCACCTCAACCCTGCCTGCATCACAAATGATTAACACAGGATGAATAATTTAAATCCGTAAGGATTTATGGAATCCTCGCAGTCCATCTTCCATGGCCTCAACAATACATGAGTCAGTACAGTCCTTGAAGAGGATATGAAGCTTTTCATATTTGCTGGGGTAATTACCTTCTACCTGCTCAAGCTTCCAGTGCAGGTAGATTCCTTTATCTTTATTTTATAGACAAACATTTTTAGAATGGTCTACACAGCTTTGCAAATTTCTTTCCTGAAAATTGTACTCAACTCTTTAAAAAGAAAAGAAGATCCATTATAGTCTTCTTTGAAGGAAGGACATTTTGTGTCTTTTCTACTTTCTCTTTATAAAAAAATTCCATATGGACTAGAAATCACTCAGCGGGATTATATTTAATGAGTGCTGACCTGACTAATTCATAATGGGGAATTTGGACAACGCTGCTTCACACCCTGCTTCTGCCATAATACACAGGGAAAGAAAAACGGTTTAAAAGCATGAAGATAGCATACCCAGAATTGCACACCATGAAAATACGACACCAAAGTGATATTTACAACTCTCTGTGTCCAGTCAACTTTGCACTCCAGTGAAAATTAGTTCTCAAGCGAGAGCAAGTTTGTAGCATTTATGTAAGTAAAGCTCTAGCTTGCATCTTGGGCATCAGCCTTTCCAAATGAAGAAGTCCGCCACTCCTAACCGCCACAGGGCCGATCTCCCCGCTGTGAAGAAGACAGCGCTGGCAGGAGACAGAAGACTGTGCCGAGGGCTTCCCTGTGCCGCCCGGAATGCCAGTTTCAAGGGGGCCCCGACGTCGCCATGCACCTGCCTTGCTTGCCCCTCCTCCACTGCGCTGCACCCCGGGCTGGTGGGGCTGGGCAAACCGCAACTGGTGCTGTGAGCACGTTGATCTGGATCAGCTTTCTCCAACGCTGTGCCTTCCAGAGATTCTAGACGACCCGCTCCCTCGATCACACCCCACACAATCATGAACGATTGGAGCAAGGATCCAAAAATCTAGAAGGCACCAAGGTGGAGACAGGGAAGCGCAAATACGGCAGCCTCTTCATGGCATTCCATCTCAGGGCTGCATTTCTAGCCTACCAGCTGCATCGAGGAACAAAGAACTCAGAAAAAATACCACAACGCCGTGGGAGGCTGATGCAAGCTTCAGAGCAATATCGCTTGTGATTAGAGACATGTATAGTCACCGAGAGCATCACATTTTCTCAGTGCAAGGCGTGCCATTAAAAAATCTGATCGATGCGAGGGAGGTAACAATATTGCTTCATAGGATGCCTACAAAATAGAAGCCTGTGTTATTGCTGCACTAGGGGAAAAGATCTGCAGGGTAGAAATAAAATCCAGAGAGTCTTCCAATGGGTGGGCCATGACTGCGTTTGGAATTATTTTGCTTCAGATTCCCAAGCCACTGCTTTGCAGCTTTTTGTTTTTGTGTAAACAGTGGGGACATTGGTTGCCTGACAAATAACAACAACAGCATCTGATTGCTCTTGCCCCTTATTTGTTTTGTAAATGGTATAGAGAGGCTTTTAAAATAAAATTTAAGAAACTGGGCCCTTGATACAAGCTCTTTCGCTGGGGACCGATCTGAGTAGGGGCTAGGAATGCAGTAGTTTGTCATTTGTCAGCCCAACTGTTCAGTTGCTCCCTGTGCTAATAGGGCGACTGCCATTGTTTAGTCTATTCTGCAAACATAATTTTCAGACTAATGGTTCTCTAGACTTTTGAGAACTCTCTCATCCCATTTTGCAGGACTGAAGATAAATTCTAATATATCTGCGGTCAGCAAAGTCCACACTTAGAGCCTGTTCATATGCAATGCTAAATTATGATTTGGTTATCCTCACACTTCTGCATTCCCTTCTCATCCCTTGAGTCTAGCCTGTTCCCATTTTCTCACTGTCTTTCCCTTTTGGGGAAAAGCCCATCATTTCCTTGTAGACTTTGATATTAAACTGAACTGTAAAATTCTGGTTTGCGCTTGTTCTCTAAAGCAGGCTGTGGAAATTCCATTAAAGAATAGGAAGGGGGAACACACAAGCCTAAAACTCAGATGAGAGGGCTAAACCCTGCTCTGAGCATTACCGGGTTCCAATCTAACCTCTCCCTGTATTGGGCCCTTGTCACTTGAAACTGGGGAGCCAGGTTTGGGGGCCAACGCTTCCTCCTCCCTTCTCTTCACAACGCAAATCGGTCTGTTCCTTTTAGCCACAGGTTTTGAGAGATCCTCCTAAACTCATCTTTTCCTCAGGGTACGTGTAACACAGAGCCACTGTTTGCTCTTGGAACAGACCAAGGGGAGGGAAAACACTTCCCAGAAAGAAGCAGGGAGGAGCTATTGTGCCAATCCCAGAAGCTGCCCCCACAATTTCGGGGTACAAACTGCAGTTTGCAAGGATACAGTTCACGCCTGTATGTATGTATGTATGTATAACTCTTTTTTACACCCTCCCTTACCATCGTCTCGGGACAATTTAACAATAAGACAAAACAAAATAAAATACAGTATCAGCCCAGTTAATTTGTCTGTTTAAATTCTGCCCTTGTGCTTGCATTCCTACTTCCAGATTACTGGTAGGAGAGAAAGTGACCGTGTAGAGTTGTTTTCCTGCACGTTGCAAAGAGATGATGTTGTTATTCAGGTGTGGGCAAGAGACAGATCTGCTGATGTGCCGAATGCCAACTCTGCGACATATAGCACTTGTGAACTGGAGTACAAAGTATTTTCACATGGTGATTTTTTTTAATTATGGAAGGTTGTCTGGAGTGATGTTGAGGAGATAGAAGTAATAAAAAATAAGGAATAGCTTCAAGTAATCAGGATATATTTCTTGGTGCAGCCTTCAGACAAGTGTGTTGCTACCTCCTTAACGCTGTGCCTCTGAAGGCTAGAGTCTCCTTAAATGATCTTGCTGAATGTTGTTCTGGAGCCAATCTGTCCTACCGCTAATTTTTAATCTGCTACGGAGCATGTGCTTGGGCAGGGAGGAGAGACAAAAACACAAAACAATCTAGTTTGTGCAGAACCCTTTCATGATTCCCCGAGCCCTGGGCTTTCTAAAAGGTAACTTCAAATTGAATCAATCTCTGAAATTCGCTTTGAGCAGAGCTGAAGTTCAGGCCAGGTGCACAGTTCCCATACCTACTGTTCTTTTTCCACCCAATGGCATGAGCTGGGTGCAGCTCGAGGGGTTACGTTTTGCAGAGCCGTCTCTCAGTGGGTTTGGTTGGTATTCAACACATTTGATTTTTCTCCCTTTCTATTTATTAGACATTCGCTGATCAGGTGTTTGGCATTTTCAGCTGGACAATTCCAATTGCTGTTGCTCTGTCTTGTTTCGGTGGACTTAATGCATCTATTTTAGCATCTTCAAGGTAAGGCTTTTTTATATAACAACAATCTCCTCCTCCTCCTCCTCCTCCTCCTCCTCCTCCTCCATCAATACCACCCAATAGCCAACCTCTTTGGATAGCTCATACCAATACAATAATAAAAATACAAATACAATAAAACACAATATAAAAATCTTACAGGCAAAATTTAAAACAGTTGAAACATCTAAAATGATTTCAATAAAAAGTAGACCTGCTGAAAGCCTGGCAGCACCGAATGCCAAGAAGATGAGAGTGTCGCGCCAGGTGGGTCTCTGTGGGAGACGGTTCCAGAACTGAGGGGGCACCACTGAGAAGGCCTTGCTTGCAATTGGCATTGTCTGGTCCTCCCTTCAGGCAGCAGGGAAGGAAGAGCTCAGGTGCGGATCTTACTGCCTGGGTGCATTGAGTTTGGGAGTCTTTGCAAGACACACAGGTTCAAAGCAGTGCCTTGAACCAGACTCTGAAGCCTATAGGTAGCCAGTGGTCATATATGTTCAGAACATCTGCTGCCATTTATTAATCTGGCTGCCCTGTTACACACAACCTGCAGCTTACAAACAGTTTTCAGGGGCAGCTCCCCGGCAAGTAAATTGCAGTAATCTAATGCAGATGTTACCCAAGTATACCTTACTGAAAACAGGCCAGCCCTGTCCAGATAGCTGGTAGAAGGCACTCCATGAGCCTCAAGCAGCAAAGACGGAGCAAGGAGAACCCCCGAGCTGTGATGTGGCTCCTCGGGGGGAGGGCAGCCCCATCCAGGACAGGTCGGACTTCCTTCCACCACTCAGGGGACACACCTGCAAAGGTCAGTCTTGCCTGGATTAAGCTGCGATTTATCAGCCTCCCTGCAGCCCATTTATTGGCACCGAGTTTTGCAGGCCAGGATGAAAAGAAGTAGCGCCGTGTGCTGGCGGCATGTGCTCCAAAAGCAGGGGGGGCCCACGCGGGCGTCTGCTAGATGCCACATGGGGTGGGGGAGGGGGCTAAGACCAGCGGCTGAGGAATTCCATGCGGAAAATGCATGGGGCCCAGCAACACTCCCCGAACACGGCCTCCTGGAGCTGGCCGGCCAGGTAGAGGTGGAACCTGGGCAATGCCATTCCCACTCCCAGCTCGGGTTTCCCCCAAAGGATGCCATAGACAATGCGGGATCGTTATACAGAAGGTTCCCGTTTCCTCTATTTTTGCCCAAAGGAGCAGGGGAAGAACAAAGCTGTATGCATAGAGCAAGTGGTACAGGCTTATGCAAGTACCTCCTGACGTACTTATTTCTGGTTTCATTGTTTGGACCACAGTGTTTTTTCCGTTTTGTTTTGTTTGTAATTCATCTTATTCAAGAAAGAAACTAATTCTACACATAAAATTTCACTTGGCTACCAAATTTCCCTTCCAGAGTTTTTTGAGAAGAAAATGTGAGCTGCCATATCACTTGCCTCTTTTTTCACATCTCTCTTGGCCGTTTTTAAATGCACGTCCTTTGGTGTAAACATGCTCCTATTCACTTTATAGGCGTATGCCCAAAACCAGAAGCCGTTCAAATTTGTTTGAGTTATTTTGCATAGAATTTTAGAGAATGGCAAGAGAGAAAAGAGTCGGTATAAGATAAAAGGTCTGAGAACAGAGTGCTTGGTGACTTGGAGCAATTGGCTGGGTCGGAGAGCAGAGAGCTGTGAAAGCCAAACCCAGCGTCGGTCTGATTTCCATGGCTTGCTGCATTTCCACTTAGCCAACAAAGCAAACCTCGCATTCCTCACTTTCCCCTTCATAGAAAAGGTAGGTGGACAGCTGCTAGGCAACGTGATGCATGAAACCTGTGCAGGTGTGCAGAAGGAATAACGTTCTTCTGGACTCGCCTGGCCATTGCTTTCAGTTGGACAGGTTCAGACTTGCCTTGCATGACAGCTAGTCAGGCATGGATGTTCTGGGCGCTGCTCTTTGCCTCAGTGTGGATGCGATAAACCCTGTAACCTGTTCTCTTTCTTCCCAGGCTGTTCTTTGCAGGATCCCGCAAGGGACATTTGCCTGACCTCTTGTCAATGATCCATATAGAAAGGTTTACGCCAGTCCCGGCTCTCCTCTTCAATGTGAGTTCTCTAGTGGGCCCACTATATGTTCCGCATCGGGAAAGCCATCAAATGGGGAGCGAGGTCTGGTCAGACGCTGGCACTGCCTTTGGGTCTGGGTCAACGTGCAGGTGTGGTTTTCTCCACAACACTTTCTGCATGCCTTTGTTGTTTGGACCAGAGCGCGGATCGCATTTCCCTGGCCCTGTCCATGGGCAGAGTGGAGGGTTGCGCGACGGTCGAGGAGAGCCAGCCTTCTCTGGCGTCCCCCGTGAGGTGAAACTGGGCCTTGGTCCACCCTGTAAAGAGCCAGTGCTGCCGGCAACGCACAAGCTGGGCAGATGCCTCCCTTGGAGAGGTTCATGGTGTTGTTGTCTTTCCTCACAGTGTACAATGTCTCTTGTGTACTTGACTGTGGAAGATGTCTTCCAGCTCATTAACTACTTCAGCTTCAGCTATTGGTTTTTTGTGGGCCTCTCAGTTGCTGGACAACTCTTCCTCCGCTGGAAGCAACCGGATCGGCACCGGCCGCTCAAGGTGGGGATCATGATTTAGTCCTGCCATCCGTCTACTGAAGCAATACCGCTTCGAAGCCCTGCAGCGGTTCTCTGCAGACATCCCCATGGGTAGGCGGAATCTGTTCCTGCATTGCCAGGTGGTGATTTCTGGAGAGGACTCAACAACAAAATGGTGATGGACAAAGTAAAGTGAATCGTGGCGTAGCGTACAGTTCTTGCCTCTCCGTTCCTTATGGGTGTGCAATTTTCCTCTCTTACAGCTGAGCCTGTTTTTCCCAATCGTCTTCTGTGCGTGCTCCATTTTCCTGGTGATTGTGCCGCTGTATAGCAACACCATTAATTCCCTGATTGGAATTGGCATTGCGCTTTCTGGGATCCCCGTCTACCTCCTGGGAATCTCCTTGCCTGTTTCCAAAAGGCCACCTTTAGTCAGCAAGGTTTTAGGTAAGAGGAATCTTTGTTTGGTGCTGGTGATGGTGAAGTCTTCAGTAACAAATGGGTGGAAGAATGAGAAACACAGAAATTGCCATTTTAGGGCCCACGTTTGCCAGCTGAGGGCCATGATAAGGGTTCACGCTGGGCTTGTTTTTCCTTTTCTTTATCTATTTAATGAGCATAATCCTCTTTGGGGGCCTGGGCAAATGTTTGCCAAATAGCTCTAAACCCGCAGAATTCTGCAGAAAGGCTCCCTGCAGTGCTGTCACGGAGTAGCCGCCCCTTGCAGCAGCTGATGCTCGTTTTCAGCCCTGGCGTGTCCCTTGTGTGGCCATTACATACACGACAATGAGCGACCGCTGCGTGGTTGCTCTGCCTTTTCCCCCTTGCGCAGAATGCACGGCAGCAGCTTCCACAGCTCTGCCTCGCTCTGTTTTTATCCTCGCAACAACCGACCAGAGAGGCAATTTAAGGCTGAGCAGCAGTGACTGGCCCAAAATCACTCAGGGAGCCTCTTGGGCAAGCGGACCTGGATCCCCCAGCCCGTGGGCTCCCACGCACCAGACTGGATATTCCCTGTTCGCGACATGGAAGGCATCCCAGTGGGGCTCCACCGTGTTTCCCACGCCCTCTCAGTAACAGACTGTTGATGGGAAGGGGAGGCCTGTGTGTAACCCAGATGGGACTCTTGGGGTGCGTGTGCGTGTGCAGGTGCCTCCCATTGCCTGGGAGGCAGAGGAATTGCTGTTTACAGAAACACATAAAATGCAGTCTAAATACAAATCCTATAGATGGAAGCCAGCGTGTCGGAGCGGGATTTGGGAGATCTGGTTTGCAATGCGCACCTGGCCACAAAACTCACTGGAGGACTTTGGGACAGTCACTGACCCTCAGTCTAGCCTACCTCACAGGGGTGTTCTGAGGATAAGATCAAGAGGACAAGGAGGATTATGTGCCCTAAGTTCCTTGAAGGAAAAAAGTTGGGATGTCAATAGAATAAAGTGAATAAATAAATATTACACAAATCATACAGAGCATCCAGTTTCTTTGCAAGAATTTAAAAAGCCATTTAAACAACTTGACTAAGACATATTAATGAAAGTAGACTTGGAAACGACTGCCATAACTCCCCCCCCCCCATGTGCTGTTTAGAGCAGTTCAACAGATCTTCTAGTTCCCGTAAGCCGGCTGGTGCTGCGCTTGGTTCAGTTTTCTGCTCTTTATCCCCTCTGCAGGTGCTGTTACACGAGTCACTCAACTGCTCTGTTACTGTGTTCTGACAGAAATGGATACCTTTGAAGAAAAACCAGAAGTCAAATCTAAATAAGTGGCTAGCAAAGGAAATTGCCTATCAAGAGGCGGTGATCCAACAGAAAGCACTAGGAATTCTTCCTCCACCAGGATCCTTGCCATGTTGTGTGTGTATTTTAAGGCCAGTCTTCTCAGGCACCTGCTCATCAGGACCCTCGTTTAAAGATGACAAAACATTCCTTAGCAATGAAACCGATGTCTTAACTGAAGAGCTCAGAAATACGTTAGCATCGGAGGACTCGGTAGCGTGGAAACAGATTTACCGTATTTTTTGCTCTATAAGACGCACTTTGTTCCCCCTCAAAAGTAAGGGGAAATGTCTGTGCGTCTTATAGAGCGAATATGTGTGTGCAGTAAGTCTGTCAGATGTGCAGCCCATGGGGAAGTGATGGGGAATGTGCCTGTGATTATGTGCCCATTTGATTCAGAATATTTTTTTCTTGTTTTCCTCCTCTAAAAACTAGGTGTGTCTTATGGTCAGGAGCGTCTTATAGAGCGAAAAATACGGTATTTTGCTTCCACACTGCTGGAAGTTAAAAGACTCCAGTCATCTTCCTAGTCTGTCAGCAATTCACTCGTCTCTACACAAGACAGTCTTAATGTGGATTGATGTTCATGAGAAACTATTGCATCGAAAACATCAGGCGTGGAACAGAAACTTTGCTTTCACCTTGAGTGACCAGTTTCCTCTGCCTAGAGGGGACACATGCTGGTTAATGTTCCGAAGCGCTCACATCCTTCCAGTGCAACCATCCCTTTTTAATTGAACAGTCATAATCAAAGACGGTGTTAATGCCGGAGAAAAAGACGATTATTTTTTTTAATGGACAATTGAAGTTGGAATTCACATAGTAGGATAACCAACTATTTGACACGTCAAGTATTTAATTCTTTAGAACTTTCAGTATCAAGCAGAGTGTGAACCATTAGGCATTTTCTCAACAATGTTATTTGTAAAAGTCAGATTAATGCCTTTTCACCTTCAGGTATTTTAAAGACTTTATGTGGCAGAACTGTCTTGCAGTACCATGATGGGAATTACCCAGGTTGTTGTGTAAGAAAAAGGTGACAAAGGATCCTGTCTCATAGCTGTATGTTTTCCTTACAGGTTGCATGTGTGGAGATCATTTAGAAATTTTGCACAACTTCTGTTTTCCTCAAGCGTTCAGTGCACTGTGCAAGTGGGGAGAAAAGATATCTTTTATGGGGAAAAAACTGTAGGGGAAGAAACTTTCGTCCTCCGCAAATAGTTTACTGTTACAAGTACCAGTTTGTCCCTTTTCTACTCTGTTTTCCTCCGTCTCATCACATGTGGCAAGCCTTAAAGAAAACAGAGAGGCCCTGCCTCCTAAGAGCACGTTTGGTGGTGTCTGTTTGTCACTTTTTCCTGCTCCTTGAAGGCAAACGACTCTTGAAGGGAACATCCGCCGCATCTCGGAGAAACACTTTGTCTTCCACTTCTTCACACGAGCCTCCCCCTGCTGCAGCCCAACAAATGACAAACTTGATTTCCTAGAGTTAAATGTTAACAATACATTTGCTGCGGTGGAGACCGATGGAGGCTTAAAGTAATGCTCCCTTCATAGGCGATTTCTGGTGATAGTTGCACAACTAACCCTCTGTCTCTCTCTCTCTCTCTGTGTGTGTGTGTGTGTGTATGTACACTCCCAGAAAGTGACAATTGCTTTGATATCATCTTAGATACTGTAGTGCACAACTCTATAACTATATAGGTGATACTTAGGGAGAATTCCAAATCTATAAAAGCAGCCTGGGAGTGCTCCTCGACCCAGAGCTGTTTTTGGAAGCTCAAGTGACAGTGGTGGCGAGGAGCGCTTTCCTTCAGCTTTGGCTAATCCATCAGCTGTGTCCCTACCTGGAGGATGACTGCCTAGCAACAGTGACGCACGCATTGGTTACTTCCCATTTGGATTTCTGTAAAGCGCTCTACGTGGGGCTGCCCTTGAAGACAGTCCGGATACTTCAGATGGTGCAAAATAGAGTAGCGAGGTTGCTGACAGGGACTGGGCGTTATTCTCATTTAACCCCAGTACTCTACCAGCTCCACTGGCTTCCCATCGAAGTCCGGGCTCAATTCAAGGTATTGGTAATCACGGCTTGGGACCCAGATACCTAAAGGAAAGCCTGCTTCCATATTTGCCTTCCCGCCCCTTGAGATCAGCAGCAGAGGCCCTTCTCCGGGAACCCTCCGTGAAGGAAATTAGGAGGGTGAGTACTTGGAGGAGGGCTTTCTCTGCAGTGGCGCCCCATCTGTGGAATGCGCTCCCCAGAGAGGTCTGCCTGGCGCCGTCGTTATTTGTTTTTCGGTGCCAGGCTAAGATCTTTTTATTTAAAAAATATTTTAATAATGTTAGATAATATTTATAGGTTTTAATTATACAGCCAGGGTGTTTCTGGGTTTTAATTGTATTTGCATTATGTTTATTTATTTATGTGAGCCGTCCTGAGGCTATAAGCGATGGGACGGCATACAAAAATTCTAAATAGATAATAAAAGCAATAAAACCCAATAAATAAAACCCAATTTACCTAACTAGGAGGGCCCACACTTGCAATAAGACAAGATTATGCAAACCAAGTGGGGCTAGTGCCTCGTTATTGCTGGATTTATAATCTGATTTGCTTGTCTAGAAATGTCCGTGTGTGTACAAGCTTTATCTTTTGGGAGTTTTGGAAAATCTAAATGACTACTTTTGTAGCTTTGCATCCCCTGGATGTACCTTTTTATTCTTCAGGAAAACAGAAAGGTTTACTGTCAGTTCTAGAGTAGACTAAACAATGCTTTCTTAAATGTGTGGCAATTACTGAGTATCCTAATGTACCTTAATTAGGTTTCACTTTGCATTACATTTTCCAAAGATACAAACAGTGATCTTTAGGAGACTCTGTAACATAACTCCGGAATTCCAGCATGTAATGCATCAGGACTAGTGTGTAAACTTTCCTCTGGATTATTGCTACATTCCAATCTAAGGTTAAAATGCATTGGAGAGTTATTCCTGAACTTGTAACCACAGCTACTTTTATACATTTTCAATGAGAACAGGAACTTGTGTGTGGAGAGAGGGGGCGAAGGAATTAAACTTCCACTATGTGGAAATAAAGCAGTGAGAATTTGATGCTTTTTGCTTGTGAAGAAAAGCTGTTCTATTGAACTTACCACGCCAACTTTATATGCATAACAAATTGGAAAAGAGACACGGGGAGGGGAGGGGCTGTGGCCATGTGGTTTCCTTGGGAGAGGATCTTGGGATTAACTGCAGGAATCTCCAGGAAAGAATCTGACCTTCAACCCTGGAGAGCCATTGCTGCCAGTCAGTGTTGACAGTATAAGGCCAATGGTCCAATGCAGTGCTGAACAGCCTCTTCTCCTGCTGGGAGGAAGCTGGTATTGTTCCATCCAGTGCCAGGTAGGCCTTTGCATCTGCAAAAGGGCACCAGATGAGTTTTGAAATAAAATCCCATCAGGAATGGCAAAAGATATAGATGGGGTTTTCAACCGCAGTTGAGCATTTCATACGAATCATGCTCCATGGCGTTGGCCCAGGGACTGTTTGTAGAGCACAACTTTTGCATGTGCTTTCACATGAGCTAGCAGCACACATGGTTAAATAGCCATGCTGACGCAAACAGGATGATGTCGTTTCATCTGATTTTTTAAGGCAACCATAAATCAGAGTTGCAGCCGCTTAGGATGTCTCTAGGAAGGAGTGGGGACAGTCAACATTTCTTAAACCTGAGAACAGCTTATAGATCCTTCAGTGTTTTGCAGAAATCGTCACCCCTTTTTTACTTTCACCTTTGGTTGTGTTTAAAGCCTTTAAAACCTGAAATGGATTCAAATGGCTTTGTTACCCCTTGATGTACACAAGATGCTCAGCACCGTGAAAGTGCAAATTATTTTTATTGTGACACAAAAGCTTCTTAATGAAAAGTCACTGGCACTTACTGGTTGTGTAAGTATTCTTCCCCTGGTAGTAGTAGTCTTGGGGAGGTGGGGAGAATAGTTCCACAGGGCACTGCCTCCTTCTGTGTAAATGAAGTAACTGCTACTGCGGGTTGTTCTCTGGACTTTTTAATCTCATTTGTCATCTGCTCTCCATATATAGTATGCCAGAGTTTTTGTGAGCCACCCAGAGAGCCCTCTGGCAATGGGGTGGCATGCATAAATAAATAATCCGGCAGCCCATTACTTCATGGGATTTTCATTGGACAAAACCACTTGCCTATTAACTGTTCATTGCTGGCAGTTCACAGGCGAGAGGTAATGTGCAGCCCTCCAAATGATGGTGCACTGCAACTTCCAATGATATCTGGAGAGTTACAATTAGCTCACTGCTGTAATATGCCAATAAAGCCCCAATAGCCCCTTTTCAACTATTTTAAGTGTCTGATAGAACTCTAAGGAATTTCCTCCAGAAGTGTAAAGGAAATTCCCAGTTAGATGCATTTCAATTACCTTATGTATGAAAAGCAAAGCAAGTGAAGGAGAACTTAAATCCCATTGCTCATGTCATGTAGCTCCTTTTTTCTACAGGGGTGGAGTGGGAAAGCCTCAACAATCCTACAAGGCCGTGGCTGATGGCTGCTGAAAGAGAAAGAAGTCACGAAACCCCCATCTAGATTGCTGTATCCACCTGCCTTACAAAGCAAGGATGATGCATGTGTCTTGTTTTTCACAGCCTGAGCACTGGTAATCGGGTTTACTGCCGTTAAACAAGAAACACTGCTTTTGGGGAGTGTGGTTAATTGTCACTGATGAACCTTCTCTCTGGAGTTAGCTAATCCTTCGAGATCAGTTAAAATAGTGACCCATAATACTTAGCAGTGAATGACAGAGCTTGCTGAAGGGCTAAGGATTGTCCACAGCAAAAAAGTCCCTCATGTCCTGAAGGTTCAGATGATGTGTCCAGTAGTTAAACAGTACAGTCAATATAGGCTGTGCTTTTTATGCTGTGCTAGGGTTTTCTAAACCTACTGGGTACATGCTGCTTCATGAGTTGTCCCCTGTCATTAAACCATACTGCATCCAAGCAGAACTGCCATGGTTTGGTCAGAAGGAAAAACACAGGAAAGGGCTGAGGAGGAACTAGGAAACTGGGTGCTGTTGCGTTCCAGTTGTAAACACACGATTTGATGTGCCAAGCCCTATTTTTTATAGGCTCAAAGCTGCCATGTCAATGCCCAGGAAGCCCAAGTGGAACAGGCACACTTCTGACGAACCAGGTATAGGGTTATGCCATGTAGCACCTTCTGGATGTTCTGAACTACACAGTCATCAATCCTAGTTGATGGTCAGGTCTGATGGGAATTGTAGATTACGTGTAATCCATGCACTCTGGACTACATTATTCTGGAAGTCATGTCTAAAGCAACTACGCATCAGCTATTTCTGCTGCACCATTAAATTGCTACAGAAATGGAAGGTGGACAAACAAGATCTACCACCAAAGGTCAGTGACATCTATCGGTTGACCCAGTCTTACATCTCTTGGGAGTTGTAGTTCAAAGCACCAGGATGATGCCTAGAAAGTACTTATTTAAATTCTCACTCGAATGCTTGTAATCCATGCTTAACCATGTCAACAGGTAGAACCCCTCCCTCACTCCACTCGACAACAGTTCAAGAAAAAAGCATGTTTTAATTACATATTTTAAAACTACATGTAACTTGGCAAACAAGTCACATTAAAGTGCAGAGATAAAAAAATGCCTGCAGTGTCTCTTTCCTTTCAGATCTGTTACAACAGAAGAACAGAACTTGCAAGAATTCTTCAAACGAACACCTTCTTCTGCATGCTTTCTCGGTCATTTTATCGGCATTCCCAGGAAGTGATAACTTCTGCAAAAATCCTCATTTCATTTCAGTAGCGTTTCAACCATTTCAACATGGCAAATACAAAAAGAAAGAACCACGCATAATTACTCCGTTTAAGGAATACAGCTTTTGAACTTTCTGCTAATAGACTACTGTCATCGCGGTTCCCATGAGTAAGAGGCAGAGCACTTATTGTATGGAACAGGCATGACCTGGGAACTGGCGATGCCCTGGTCTTCCAAGGCCAAGCAGGACAAAATGGGAATCCTGGATACCCAGGTTCATAGCACACTACTCAGAATCCAGCTCCTGCAACTCATCGTACTCAAACTCCTTCAGGACATCAGACCGATATTTCTCCCATGTTCTCTTGATATGCCCACTATCTTCATCACTGACGCTTCCATTCTCTGATTCTAGAACAAAACAGAAATTGGTTTACAACTACATTGGAAAATTTGGCAAATCATGACAGTGCGTCTGGAGCTCTGAATCTGACTCACTGAAAAACAGTCTTGCAGCACTCTGAAGACTAATGGGCTTCCGGTGCAAGCTTTTGTCAACTGCAGCTACTTTGGCAGATGTATGAAGCATTATACGATGGTACAGATACACACAGAAGAAGTGGGAGGACTGCATGCAACAGACAAATGCAGCTCTTCCCCTGCCCCTGAAACTCTTAAGTGCTCTGGCCGAATCTGTCCACTTCCCAGTAGAAATCCAATAGCTCCTATCCGGCCCGTCAACACTGTCTGTTGCCCTGGACAGTGGACTGCTCATTCTCCAGGTAAAACTGGGGGGTTAGATCTGGGGGTGGTGTTACACCTCCCAGTCTGTGTCTAAAGGAATGACAGTATTTGATCCCGCTATCAGTCAGGTGGCTCTGCCTATCAAATAGTATAAATACCATCATCTTCGTCAGTAGAAAATTCATCTTCATCTGGATAGTCATTGCGCCAGTTATTCTCATGGTTCTCATCATCCTCATCCTCATATATTTCTTCAGAAACATCATATTCATCCACCTGCAGGTCAACACCAAATGGCTTTTTCAGAGAAAAAAGGCATCACTACAGCCCACTTGTCCAAAATGAAATATAAAATAGACATGACACGTGAAAGAAAATTTGGTCTCTATCAACTAAGCTCTGTATGTGGAACAACAGTTATGTCTTGATGCATTTCAGTAAAGGTTATGTTTTGCCAGCACAAAAGCCTTTCTGCTACTAATGGAAATTGCCCTTCCTCGACTGAAAAGTTGTTGGGATATGTGGAAAATTAAATCCCACATATCCGGTTTCTGCCACAGGGCAGAAATGTTCCTGACCTCCATCTGAAATGGTCCCTTCCTGAACGAATACTGGTTCAAACACAGTAAGGAAGTGATTCCATATGTCTGCATTTTATGTGGCATGGCTGGATTGGTACTAGGTGCAATGAATTGACATTTGCAAAAATATTTAGTGCAGATTCTCTACCAACCAGAGTGCCTTGGATTGTGTGAATACAGCTATCAGTCACAGATATTCTTGTGTGTCAGCAAGGTTTGGATACTCTTGTGAGGCAGCAAGGCCATCCATTATGTTTAGGCATGATAAACAGTTAAAATAACAAAAGTCAAAATAGCTGCCAAAATGTATTCCAGCTGTGAAAAAAAAAGTAAAATAGCCAGTATTTGAACTACAAAAGTATTATCTCTGACACAGAGAATAAAAGTGTTCATCGGGTTCTGTATAAAATGGAAGGCAGTCACAGTTACAAGCAGGATGAAACAAAACAGACAAAAATATTTTCCTGTTAATTGCACTGCATCCAGGTTGAATATGTAGCGGTTGTTAGATCACATATAAGAGGTGCATATTCTATGTCAATATTTAGAATCAAGGCAGAGGATTCCAATGTAAATGAACAAGGGAATTTGCTGTCTGCATGTCTACTCAGAAGAAAGCTCACTGAGCTCAATGGATGCTTGCATGTAAGTGTGTATACAACTGCAGCCTTAGTCTTGCATTATTTTCCATTTGCTTACCAGTTCACAATCCTGGGTGTAGGGCCGTACCGACAGTATGTTCTCAATCCAGCCTGGCGATGCCGTTTCCATGTAGTAGATATCATAAACATACTCCTCTTCCTTCGAGCTGTGCTCTGCTTCTTTACTATCGGATACCGTTAAACGCTCACGGATCATCTCTACAGCGTTGCAGAGAATCACATCGGGATCACCCTGTTTCTGCCACATTGAAGAAGCGTTACAAGCATTTCTCACAAATACAGAGCTCATTATACAGAAAAAAGAAAAATAGAGAAACTAATATGGGACCTCAAATGGCCAGTTTAAGCACTTCTTATCAAGTTAGCTTCCTGGTGTTGCATGGCAAAAGCAAAACACTGAGCAAACCCCAATGGTCTCGTGATGTCTGGGGAGGTTACTTGGAGTGGGGGTTTTGAAGGCCAAGCAGCACAGAAAGAACCCAGCAGTGCTGGCTGCCTCCTTGAGGCCTTGGAGAGAATGAAAGAGGGGGCGGGGGTGCCCTGGGGAGGAGAAGATTGGGGTCCGTGGCTGACACGGATTCCTAACTCCAATCTAGATGTCTGAAACGAGCTGGCTAGAGAAAACACACAGCCTGGGGTGGAGCCAGTCATCACTGCCACACCTTGCTCCATGCACTGGATCCACGCTGTATGTATGTCCCACTGTCCCCCTCTTGCAAGGAACCTAAAGCAGCCTGCATAGACTTCCATTTTGTCTGCACAACAGCCTCGGTGATAGGTTGGGTTGAGAGTGAGTGACCAGCCCAAAGTCACCCAGCAAGCTTCACAGACTAGAATGCACATCTCCACCACAGTTGCTCTCAGAGGCTTACATGGGCGCTGGATGGCTCATTTCACTTTTAAAATATCTGCTTATCCTCAATTTAAAACTGAGGAAGAATTTTTAAAAAGATGCCAAGCCCTTTAAAGAAATGAAGTAGAACAGTACCTGTCTTTCTTTATCCCTGTTTTTTGTTTACAAACATTAAACTGTATTAACATAACAGGACACTCAGAGAGCTGTCTAGAGTCCTTTCTTGCTAAAATATGAATCCTCCTCAGTGAAAACCGACACAGTTAAGTCATCTAGAAAACTTTAGTAATCTGATGACAGATACACTATATGTATAAAAATCCATTCTCAATAAGAGCCTGTTGCCTTGAAAAAGGGCCATGAGAAACATGATGCCTGGTTATCAGCTCCAGATCAAACTTAATCGCAGCATAAATGGCATCCACAAAAGCAGTTGTGCCACAGAATATACTTCTTGCACTCCATGGCCTGTCAACCCCATGATGTCCAATCCCCCTCTTATTCTGATTCCAGGTATATATACCTGCCAATATTAAAAGTAACACTTCATGCATCTGCCAAAGTAAGGTCTAGTTCATATAGGCTAGTCCACTAGTAAGCTCTAGTTCATAATCTAAAATTTGTTTTTATAGTGCTGCAAGATTTGAGGGGGGGGGGTGCTATTCTGCACTGCATTCAAATGCTGGCATCTAGTGGTGCAAATACTGAATTTTCACATTAAGCACCAACTAGGAAAAAGCCATTATTCCCCTTGCCAGCAGCTCAGAGCAGCATGCTGAACAATAACAAACAAAACAGTAGGTCGACAAATCCAAACAAGAAAATGATCAGACATGCTCAAATGCCCAAGCAAACTAGGATCAAGCACCATGGTTTAGAATCAGGGTTCCAGGTCAGTTTTGGGTGGTTTGGCATGACCTCTGAATTCACAAACTATAGTTTGAACCATAACTTCCCTTGTGATGCAATGGTATGGAGAAGCTCTACAGCAGTATTCCTCAATCTGATCCGCCCAGATGCTTTGGACTACTGCCCCTAGCAGACCCAGCCAGCATGGCCAATGATCAAGAATTCTGGGAGTCACACTCAAACACACCTGGAGGGCACCAGGCTAGAAAACATTATTCCACAACATAGCTTGCCTATAAATTTGGAAGGTCAAATTGGGTTGGATTCTAAACTGTGGTTAGTCCAATATATGGCTTAGCATAAACTTTGTATAAACCAGTGGCCTCCTACATTTAATTCAGACATCTGTTCACTCAGAGATCAATACCAACCTGCAAAGCATCTTTTCCCACATCCTCTTCTTGTACAATATCAAGTAACTGGAATTCTCCACAGCTGACTGAGGTTCCACCACTTTCTTTCTGAGAAGCATCTTTTTTTGCTCCAGGAACCAATTGAGCGCTGTCATTCAGCTCCGTCCCATTTTCATCGAGAACAGCACTTTCACTATCATGGAGATTTGGACGGTGGCTGGCAACCAGGCGGTAGCGGCTTTCCTGCCTTACGGCCTGCTTGGAAGAGCGAAGGTCCTGAATGACTCTCTGGGCACTTGCTATTGAAGGTCGCAGGAGCTGCACTGCCTTGTTTTTGGTAAGAGCTTCTTGTATGTACTTCTGAACAGGCTCATTCTAAAGTAAAAGAGAAGCAACTTCGAGTCATGCCTCAGCAGCTTAGTATTTTAAAAGAGGTACAATATACAGCCATCGAAATCATTCTTGCCTTTGTCAGAAACGTACAAGGATGCCAGTCTCTCAGATTCAGCACTACTAACCACATATGGACTTATCTGGCATCGATTTCAACTAATTAAGAAGCATCAAGCACTTTGAACACTGAAAGTGCCATGTAAATAATACTCCAATTCCAATTCCTTCCAATTGTTAAAGGAAGAAATACTGAATAACAGATATTTAGCTCTGATTCCTCATGTGGTTCTAAAATTACAAAACTTGGGATATAAAGAAAGGACTACAGATGAGACTATGTCCAATGTTAGTCCGACTTAAGAGGAGACCCAATAAAATAACTGGCATTTAAGTTAACGTATCACTGGATACAACCCATTGACAGCCACACCTTTGGGAGTGTAATCCCAGACATGTTTACCCACAAGTAAGCCCCACTGAAATCAATGGCTGCAGCCTGGACCCTTTGCCTGTACCTGGGATTAAGCCCTGTTGAATTTGTAGGGCTTAACTTCTAAACAGATAAGCACAGGTTGTGTGAAGACACAACCATTCAATTACGTGCATCTTTAATTACTCCTCTTTTTGACAATCGCCCGGCCTCTTTACTGTTCCTGTGCCGGACTAACCAAAAACAGGTGTGCTCCCCGATATTTTACTACATCTCCCAGAATCCCTGGCCGCTGGACATGCTAGCTGCGGATGATGGGAACTGAAGCCCACACATATCCCAAGAGAAACCGACTGAGGAAGGCGGGCATAGACGGTGAAGAACAGAAACGGGCCACCCTATCCCAGCGCCGGCCAAGACACTCTGTCGACCTCACCTCCGAGGCCACAGTCGCGACCAGCTTGAAGAGATTCGTCTGCACTTCATCCTTGCCGGCGGAGGAGGACGCGGTGGCGGTGGCGGTGGCGCCGTCCTGCTCCGTCCGGAGCCGCTTGCAGGCCAAGACCAAGGCATCCACCGGCGCGGCTCCGTCGCACTTCCTCTTCACCCGAAGCACCGCGGCGCGCTCCATGGCAACCGAGCCAGGCCGCGGAGCACGCGGAGAACGACGGGAAGGAGAACGGACGAACGGACGTAGCCGACCCCTCGGACCTGTCACGCTCAAACCCCGCCTCCTCGTTGGGATTGGCCGCGGCCTCCTGACGTGCGCCTGTAGTTCCGCCTCCTCGATGACGCCAGTGCGGAGCCTCTGGGCGACCATGAATGGGTGTCGCTGCCTGGTATTGCTCGCGGCCACCAGCGGTAAATAACGCCCTTTAACATTAATTGTATATAGTAAAGCGCGAGCGCCCGCTTGCACATTGATGCGGTGGTGGTTATTGTGCATCATTTATTAATTTTTATCCCGCCTTTTTCTTTTTTAAGAGGTCAAAGCGGCTCCTGTTGCTACCTTCAGTCTTATCCCCGCAACAACAACCCTGCGAGGTAGGCTGCGCTGAGAGTCTGTGTCTGGCCCCAGGTCGCCCAGTGGGCTCCATGGCTGAGCCGGCTCGCCCGAGGCCCAGTCCCGCGCTCTTATCCACTACGCCACACGGCCTCTCACTGGCGTGTGCTGTTGAACGCGCTTAGCGTCCTGTGCTGCACTTAGTTTTGTTTTGCTGCCTTGAACTTTCTCAGAAATGCGTGTTTTAACAGCATGGTCTTCTGCGTATCTCTCAGAAGTCACGCCCAGTAAGTTTAATGAGACTTTCTCCCTGGTAAGCCTGTACAGGACACCCTTAAGCACATGTTCGCTCAGACGTCTCCATAGGTTTAATAAGGCTTATTTCCAGGTCGGTAAGGAGCTCAAGGGCGCAATAGGCAGAAAAAAGGCTACAACTACCGGCATGCCCCCGCTAGCAAAGCCTTTTCCCAGTCCAAATCTGCATATGGATTGTCCCTGAGCATTGCGTGTCCTCTCGTTTCTATCTATGCTTACACAGGGTCGGACCTTTCATCTTCGTCACCTGTCCTTGTCCCTATTTTGTTAACTTTTAGCCCTGATTTTTCTGTAGCGCCGCCACTCTTGCCCCGCAAATGGAGAACTCTATCACGAACCGGAAGTGTCTCACGTGTTTTTTTTAACGTAGCTCATTGACGTCCCTGCCTCGTGCGCGAAGCCGCTCGCTCTCCTTCCCCCGCCCCTGCCGCGCGTTGCATCTTGGGAAGATGGTGGCGGGCGTGTGGCTTCCCCTGATTGACGGGCGGGAGGCCGAGCGAGGTACGGTGTGGCCGCCCTCGGGAGACTCGCAGGCGGTCGGCTGGCTGGCTGGCTAGCTGGCTGACAGACAGACAGACAGACAGGGCGCTCGTTGCCGGGCTGGCTGCCCCGAGGTCGTCGTCACGCGCCCTATAGAAATCCCGGCACGATGTGTCTCTGAGCACGTGTGGAGTGCATTTCTCATTGAGGGAAAGTAGACTTTCGGGACTTAGGCCCATGGGCATGTGCTGGGAAAGGAAAAGGGATGGATAATGCGGCTGCGTTAGCTGGTTTTATCCGATGTTCTTTCCTTGACTGCTCTGTGGCTGTAGGTAAAATAACCAAATCAAAAGTTATACGGCTGTTTATGAATGCGGTTGTTTGACGTGTCCTGCCTTTCTTCCAAGAAAAATGGCGTTCAGGATAGCTTTGAAATGCTCGTGAGCACATGTCTAATTCCTTACCTCCTTTTTACCCTCTTTCATGCGGCAGCATTAAAAAGCCTGCAGCCAAAGTGTCTCTGAGCATCTGCAGAGTGTTTGAGTTGTGAAGAATTCCTTGCCTTGATTTTGAGCAGTTTGGGTGTCATGTGGGATCTAGATTCAAAAGCCCAAAAAGGAGAGAGAGGAAAACTTGCTCTGGCCTAGGCTCTTGTGGGGGTGAGTTTTTAGTGGAGGGTTCTCTGTGGTTGTGTGCATGGTCTAAATTGACTCGCTGGAACATTTTCCCCACACTGCTTCCACGAAGCTTGGAGGCTGCATACATGCTTTGAATCTTCATAACAACCCTGTGAGGTAGGCTGAGACAACACAACTGGTCCAGGGTCTCTCGCTGAGCCCATGATAACTGTACTGGATGCTTTTACTAGAGTGAGCTGATTTTGCCCCAGTGGCTTATTGCTATACAAAAATTAAAAGCATGTGAGAAACACAAACTTAACAAATAGGGGGGAAAACCCCTTATGCTTTGGTTATATCCTGGTTAGATTACATGGTTATATTCTGTGTAGGGCTGCCCTTGAAGATAATGATATGATTGTGCAGAATGCAGTAGCTAGAATACACATGGGAGCTAAATGTTTAGATTTGTTGTGTAGTGTTTGCAGTGGTTACTTTTGAGGCCTGATTCAAGGTTCTGATTCTGGCTTTTAAAGCCCTAAATCATTGGTTCCCAACCTTTTCTATTCCCCCTTACCTCTGGAAAATGTTTGATTTACGTTCACACTCCCTGCAAAAGTAATAGCACATTTGAAGAGGAAATCAAATTTCTGAATGTTGAACCACAAATGGTACTGTGGGTGAACGAATTGAACTAAAAAAGGCTTTTAACTCAGTACATACGATTCAGTTTAAAATTCAGTGCATAAAATTCAGTTTTGGCTATTCGCAACGCAGCCTTCCTTTTTGTTGCACCCCTTGAAATGCCATTTCACACCCCGTTGGAGTGCAGGCACCCCAGGATGGGAACACCTGCCCGAAATGGTTTGGGACCCTGTTGTCTGGCAAGCCAGAAAAATAATCTGTGAGCTTTCTCTTGCTTTTGTGGGGTGTGGGCCTAGACAAGCCACTCTTCCTGGTTTGCATTCTGTGCTTACCGAACCACAGATGGAAGATCTATGATTTATTTAAAGGCCGAGTTATGATGTGTGAACTGGGCTGTAATCATGCAGTTTGTATGCAAGCTAAATGGACTCCAAATTAAGCTCTCTCATTGGCACATGCTACTTATTAATGGCCCGATAATATTCCCAGCATGTCCTTACGCTGACTTTTGGCTAACAGACCTAGTGAGGCTTAGCTTTGTTAACAATGGAATTGCAGTTTGTGCAAATTATTTTCTAAATGTCAGCTTCTTTTTTTGCAATAGGTTGTTGATCATGTGCCTAATATTGGAGAGCATCTGAATTTAAAAAAAAATCTTCACAATAGCAAAGCAAGACAACCATGAAAGTTTTCTGTGGAAGAGCCAATCCCACCACGGGATCATTGGAATGGTTGGAAGAAGATGAGAGTTATGATTATCACCAGGAAATTGCAAGGTGTAGTATGAAGGAATTTTTCCCACATATGTTACTGTGACAAGCCAGTGTAGTGTAACTGTAAGAGAGTTGTGCTTAAGACGGCAGAGACCTGGATTTAAATCCCTGTGCAGACACAAAACATACTGCCTAAACCTGAGCCGGTCATTATTTTCCAGTTTAACCTACCTTGCAAGACTGTTTTGTGTAAGGATATCTACAATGAATTTGAACTTCCATGAATCTGATCTGTAGATCTACAGCATGGTTTCCCAAGTCATGTGGATTTTCAGAGGTTTTAAAAAAAATTTACCTAATTTTAGGCAAATTTAGTTGTAGAAAAATAAATAAAATTTAAAAAAAACACTGACCAAAATTGTGCATTTACAACATAGGCTAATGCAGTACAATGAGTATTTTTCAGGAATTTGCATGTGTTGGAGGGATTTGCCCTTCTTAGGGAATCCACGTTTGCACAACTCAGAATTTCCGTAGAATCTGATTCTGTCAGTGAGCCGTTAATGGAATGAAATGTGCCTGACACTTTTTTTCAATATCTGCGCTTCCCTATCTGTGAAGCTAAACTATGTGGGGTGGATGGGGGCTGATTCCTGTTTACTATACCAAGTAACTACCACCTTGAGAATCACTGAAAAGCTTTCTGAACTTTAAATGTATGCAGTTCAAGTAGAAAAGATCGAGCAAAATTCTAGTTGTATGTAACAACCACTGCAAGCATGGCATGGCTCATACAGCTCAATATACTTGATCTAGTTTACTTGAAAGTAAGACCTGTTGAACCCAATGGTACTTCTTTCAAAGTAAGTGCATATAAAATGGTGCCCCTACTTAGTTTCCTGGGGGCACACCCACATGTAAAGACTCCAGGGTTTTGGGTCACTAAAGATATGCTCAACTTGTTGGTTTTGCCCTTTTCAGTTAAGAGCTTGGTGCAGGACAAGCTAAAGGATGAATATTTGATGAAAAAACAGACAACCGTAATTTATTCAGAATTTGGTTGTGGTCAGATGCAGTCACCTTTCTTCAAAACCGAATAAAGTTCCTACTAGAAATATAGAAAAAAAATCCGGTTGTTAAATGAGAGAAAGGAATGACAGTGTTAGTTCCTCTGAAAATTATTGCAAAATAGGGATGCATTTGGTTGAAGCTAAAGCAGATCTGGTGAAAGGCATCTTCTGGGTGTTGGTATAAACAAATCAGACTTAATGTAAATACGTTAGATGTGCTGTGTTATGCAGAGTTTTGGAATGACTAGATAATGCAAATGATGAGTATTATAATTCCGACACATTTTCTAGAGATGTATTGGTTTGCATAGATGAGCTAGGCTTAAAGCAGGGAGCTCAGGTTATTTACCATTTATTGAGAGCTCCTAAAATCTTAGTAGCACATTATTTGTTGGAGTCATGATGGGGGAAACTGAGGATCCCTTGTTGATTTAAACAATGGAATTGAACTGTTGGTCTCTGTTGAAGCATTTGAAACTCACTTACCTTTTTCTGGATTGAGAAAAATAGAACCGAGCCTTGTCTTTTAGGGGAATGGAGCTCTGTTTCAGAGCTGGCATGTTCCCAGCTGTCTCCTAGTTCACCAACAGATTTTGGTATATTGCCTCCTTCCTAAGATTTAGCTTAAAGCAGGAGACGCTGTTGCAAAGAGGTCTTTTTGCTTTTGCTGTCAACCTCACCCAAAGAGCAGCCTACAATCATCGAGAGGGGAAATACATGTCCCCAGGAGTGGACCCAGAACAGTGACAAACAGACCCTCATCGGAACCTACGCTTAGTGACTAGCTCTTTTTACCTTCAGAAGTCTGCCCATACTTCATGGGCCTTGGATACAAGAACTCATCATTTACCTTTCCGAGTGTTGACACCTGGTTGGCATCTGGCAGTTTTTATGAAGGCTTACTGAACTTGAAGGTGAAATCACACAAGAGTGAAAGTGGTCCAGATCTAAAAGGGGTCGATGTCTGTCTGTCAAAGCTGTGGTCGGAGGTGGCCATCCTATCCATTGTACCAGTCTTTTCTCATTTAAACTTTTAGTAGGAACACTGGTTGATCCAGTTGACTTTCTTAGCCTGAACTGGTTTTGATTTTTCCTTTGAATTTTATTTACAGGTCATGCTATGCAGATATGCTGAATGACAAAGACAGAGTGAGTATTTTTTTTTTAACAAGTTGAGATTATGTCTGCCTCATTAGCATCAGTTCCATGATTGTTTTGCATGCAGCACAGGCTCTGGTAGGAAACATGCTGTGTGTCATTCAAGATATAACACACAGCATTCGGATATGCATAATAAACATTTTTATTTGAATCTGTTCCCAAAATATAGTCTTCCAGCTGAATTTGAAAAAACAAAACTTTGATAACTTTCAAATGCTTTAGTAAATTGAGGGCACAATCCCAAAGGGTGCACATCCCCTTTGCTCCCTTCTGGGAGTTGATTTTCCAGCCTTAGAGAAGCAGTTGGCAAAGAACTCTCCCTGACTTTGGGTTTGGGAACCTGAAATGCTGGCTCTCTAAATGCTGTCTAGCAGGCATAAGGTTGCCCTGATCCACTTTCTCACTGGATTCTTTCTAGTAAATTGGCATTGTGATGATAAACTCCATGAACAATTCCATCTGAATGTTGGGGATTTCTGTGACACTTATACAGCCCATTTTCTGCTGCTGCTATGATGTTCTAGTTCAAATAGCATGATTAAATATTTTTCAAAGTAGCCCTGGGTGATGTTCAGAAGCTTTGTTTTTCTTTTTAAAATGCAGCTTTGCCAAAGCTAAGAGGTGTTTTTAGCACCTCACTTATTTTCAGACGCTCCTAGCTTTCTGTCATGACTTCCTTTGAAAAGGTTATTTTCTTAAAATGAATCAGAGAGAGGGAAGATCAAAAAGGCCTGCCAGTCACCACTTTCTGTGGGGATTTGGGTTCATCTGCATATGGCTTTAAACAGGTGCAAACTCCTAAATGTCTCTATTTGAAAAGAGCTCTGTAAAAGTTGGCAGGGACAGAGAAAACTCCTTGGTGACTTCAGTGGTAAAAATCTGTAAGACTCAACTGGGGACTTAACATTCCATTTAAAAGAGCCGTTTCGAGCAGCTTTTGTTTTATTTGCCAATACTAGGAGGGTTCAGAGTTTTACTTGGAATGAAAAATTTGATGAGCTACTGCCCTGAACATGAAAAAGTGAAATGGAAATATCATTTGGGCTTAGAATTTCAACACTAAAATAGTTTCCACTGTCCTTCTGAAAGGGCTTTAGCGTTTTCCTTCATGTTTTCAAACATTTATGTGCAAACATGAGATTCTTGCATTAAAAAGGAGTGTTGGATTCCTGAGGTTTTTAATAACAGCTTGTGTACTGCATACAGCTTCCTCTGGAACTACCTATTGATAATTCCTTGAAAAACAAGAACCTGGCTGTCATGATCGAAATAAGCCACAGTGGCTGGAACCATAGGGTGTCCTTCCGTGGCTGCTGCCTGGCCACACATTGTTGTCATCTGAACCCACAGATGGAGAACAACCATTCATTACCCCTACAATAGCCCATGGGTGAATAAGACGTGAAAAGAAGTACTTGTTCACACAACAGATAATTAAGCTATGGAATTCACCGCCATGGAAAGTGGTGACCACTGCCAATTTAGAATTGCTTTAAAGGGGGATTGGATATGTTGATGGAGGAGGAGGCCATCCATGGCTACTAGTCTTGCTGGCTAGGGGCTACCTCCTTCACCGGAGGTGGCAAGTCTGCACACACCAGCTGCTGAGGAGCTTGGGGTACAGAGGTCTTGCACCCCCCTGCTGGAGGGATCCTGCGGGCAGCTGGTTTGCCACCGTGTGTGCAGTGTGCTGGACTTAGTGGACCTTTTCTCTGATCCATTATGCCCTTTCTTATGTTCCCATGTTGACTGTGTGAAGCACTCCGGTTACTGGGCTCACAGTACATGACATCCCACACTTAACCTTGAGTGTGGGTTGTTGTTGAACTCTGGGTTGTTCTGTTGTATAAATCTAGCTGTGCTTACAAAACTTGGGTCATTGACTACCCATGGAGGGTATCTGTGGTTTGCTGTTGGGCTGTGCAGAGGGCTATGCGTGAGTGACACATCACACTGTAAGCATAGCTAGGTTCATGCAATGCAGTAGCACAGTTTTAGGTGACAACCCGTATTCAACCAAGTCGTATGAATCCAGCCAATACCTTTTAACCCATGATGGTTTGGTTATCATGTGAATGCTTGTATATTGAACCATATCAAGCCTAGATACCACTGTCTCACAGCTGCAGAATCAAGGGTAATAACAGGTGCTTATCTTTCTTAACAGAATGCCAAGTATTTCCAGGGTATACGTGCTGCAGTGGGAAGAGTGAAAGAAAGAGGGGAGAGAGCAATTGTTCTGGACATTGGGACTGGCACTGGACTCCTCTCCATGATGGCGGTGACAGCCGGCGCAGATTTCTGCTATGCCGTTGAGGTAAGCATCATGATTCTCCTGTTCCCAGGTACCACTGAAGAATCATTTGTGCAGGACACCACTTTGCAAACGTTAAGCTATTGTACACACAGTAGGCTTCTGTGTTGGCCAAGCCCAGGCGACTCACCCCGTCTTGGGTGCAGGGAACTCATGAGCTTTGGCAAAAGTGGCAACCCCCCCGGCCACCCTTGCCAGGTTTGCCTGGGCAGCCACCAAGGACTGCTGCCCAGAAGGGCCCAAGCAGCACCCAGGGCTGGCTGCCACTGCCGTACTGCTGTTCCCTCTGGAATTTTGCACCAGTTTGGGCTTAACGTGGCTTTGCTCCCCTTTGCCAGTTTTTTTCCTGAGATCACCAAAGTCAGTTTGAGAGCTGGCTTTTGCAATCTCAATTTTGGCAGTCACCAGCAAAACAGTTCAAGTACCCAAGTGGTGTCTAGGAGAGGCTGGCTGTAGTTGGGAAACAGCTTTTAATCCTTATTTTTGTGCGTGCAAAATAACAAATGTTTCTGCTGCACTTACTGTGTGACATAGGAATTGGGATCCTCAGTGGACAAGGTTGGGGTATCTGCTGTCTACAAGCAAAGCTCCTTTTCTGGAGGACAACTAGCTGTCAGAAAGTAAGCAAATAACAACACATTGGCACTTGTTGGTTGTGCAAGTGTTCAGTCACCACCCCTCCGGAGTGAGTACTTCTTGGAACTCCCTCCGCAGCAATTACAGCTGCACATCTTGGGGATGCAAAGCTGCTCCAGCTCTGTCAGATTGGACAAGCGCCTTTCAAGTCTCGCCAGGGATTCTCAATCCGACGGCGGCCTGGTCTTTGGCTGGGTCATTCTGAGGCGTTGAGGGTCTTGCTTTTAAGCCAGTCCAGTGTTACTCTGGCTGTGGGTTTAGGGTCACAGTCAAGCACCAGGGCCAACTTCCACCCCAGTCCTGGGCCTCTTGTCATCCAAAACAAGGATTCCTCTAGAATTCTTCTCCATGCATCTTGCCCTCCGTCCTGACCAGTTTCCCAGTCCCCACATGGAGCAGCACCCCACAACTTGATGCTTCTATCACCAAGCTTCACTCTGGGCTTTCCACCACACACAGCGCTTTGCAGCAAGGCTCAGTGTGCCACCATTCCTCTCATCGGGCCAGGGACCCATTTCCCACATGCTTGCTGGGCCTCATTAATGTAGTTTCTGTTCTCCCCAGCAGCGGAAGCTCTTTGCAAACCAAATAGGCGTTGATAAGGTGTCAAAAATTGAGCATGCATCCAGTGTTTTGCTTGTGCTCCCACACAGAAAATAATCTTTTAAAATAGAAAACCAGTGCCTAGCTCTTAATGCCACCCAGAGATCCTACAGCTAATGAGGCGGCATACAAATGGGATGAATAAAAGAATGTATGAATAAAAAGCTGCTTGTACCACTTGCTGCAGCAAGTTTTAAAAACAAGACGAAGTGGAGCATTGAAGAGGTGCCTGAACTGCTCCATCCATTCAGCCTCCTCAGGCCCCATGACCTGATTCTGCAGCATGCGTAGACCTTGCTGCAGTACAAATGATTTATTAGAAAATTTAAGTTTTAAGAATATGGATTAATAGCAACATTTTGGTCAGAATAGTAATGCTAAGATGGTTTGTACTTTAGTTACAATTTAGACTTGTTTGTCTTTTTGGCTTATAATTTTTGTTAAGCCGTTGACTAATAGAAGCAGACATTTTGGCCGCTGGTGGTCTGTGACCATCTGGTTTCTCCCTACACCTTTAGTTTTACATTTATATTTTGGCAGGAAGCAACATGTTTTTGGCAGTTTGGGAAGCGAAAGGCTGCCTTGCTTTGCCAGGTTTCCAGCTTTAATTAGGTACACAATTTAGCATGGCCAGAAGCTTTGGGCATCACTGAACATCTTAACCTGTGGCTACAGCACAAGGTTTCTTAAAGTTTACTCCCCAGAGCAGATCTTTGGCTATGCCATTAGACCCTTAACTTGTTTTAATTGTCTGGGCCAATATGAAATACCCTCCCACTTTCACAAGGGTTGTACCTGAAGCAGGGCAGTCAGTAACCAGACCTTCCACACAGAGAGAGGAAAATGGGAAGGGGCTTTGGATTCAGCTGCGATTTCTGTCCTCTGGAAAATCCACGCAGCGGCCTGAGCCCTGTCCGGTGTCAAAGATTAAGTGGGCAGAGACCGTGTCCTGCGCGCGTTCCCTGCATTAAGCACTGTCCGTTCTGTGGCGCAGGGATTTTTCTGGTGGTATTTCACGCCTTGCATGTGGCGGCCCTTGTCTTATGCCCTGGGAACTGGTGTAGTAGCTCAGTGGCTGCGACGCCCCTCAGGCACCCCTGGTGGAAGCGGTGGCTCCGCTGTGAGCCCCCTGCTTCTCCCTGGGCATGTCGCTCTTTCTCAGCCTTCCAGCACCATCGTGGGCTTTCAGCTCAGAGGGGCTTTCTTTGAGCAAAGTGGACGTGAGCCACACGTGGCCAGCAGAAGTCCTAGTCGGAAGAGCTAATGGCGAGGGATGAGAGGAGTCATAGATCGGCAACTTCAGGAGACGTAGAAGCAGAGAAACAGAGCGGGCCAGAAGGGGTCTCCCGGGCCATCTAGTCTGACCCCCGGCTCCAGCCGGCTCTGCTCACGGCATGCCTGCCATGTGCATGTCCAGCCTGTCCTTGAACAGCCGCACCGATGGGGCCTCAACGACCTCTCAGTTGAGCACAGGTTGCCCTTCCTTCCATTAAAGTATGCAAGGACTGCAGCCTCAATCCCTGATTCACAGCATTGCCACCAGTGTTGCCATCTGCATTCTCTCTCCTCTGTAACAAACTCAGTCATCTCGTGGTGATCTGGGCTCCCCCCTCCAAACTCCCTTCATTACAGGGAAGAGGAGGTGCACGCCCCTTGTGACACTGCTAAGGTTCAGGGTTGGACAGGCAGTTTCCTGTTTGCTTGGCCAAAGCATCAGGAGTCAGTGCGACAAGGAAGCTGTGCACTAGTGCTTGACTCCTAAGGTTTCGGGCTCTGGCAGGCTGGGAGCGGCTTCTGTTGCCCCAGAGCACAGTTGCTTTTTAGAAATTATCACGGCAGAAAATTTTCCCTCCCTCGCAACTTTGCCAAGGGACCCCGGTTCGTGATGGGAGCCATACTAACCTGCTTGCTGGAGCTTTTTTTTAAAAGATGAGTGAGGAAATAGAGCTGAGCTGAACGGATTCGAACAGTTGCAGTGCTCTGTATAAACACTCAGGGTTATTCTGTTGCAGGTCTTCAAGCCTATGGCCGATGCAGCTGTGAAGATAGTGAAGAAAAATGGCTTTAGTGACAAGATAAAGATAATCAACAAGCACTCCACGGAAGTCACAGTGGGCCCTGGTAAGATTAGGGCGGACACCAGTTTTGCGCTGCCTAGAACAAAGAATGTCACTTTATTGATGCTAACATTTCATTTGCCACCATTCAGACGTGCTTCGAGAGTGGCTCGCATGAAACACAACACAGGAAAACTGCCATTGAAAACCGCAGTCCAGGAAAACAGACACACCCGCAGCAGCTAAGAAAGAATTATTTAGAAGCCTGGGAGGATGAAAGCATTTCTGCATGGTTTCCAAAGGATAACTGTGTTGTCATTGGTGACCTTCCCTGGAGAGGGATTTCCACCACTGAGAAGTCCGCCTTTCCAATGGCTCCTGCCTTGCGTTAGCTGGCAGTGTTGCTCAGGGTTGCACTTCTTCTGTGTCTGTGCCTCTGCTGTAAAAATGCACAGTGTTGCGTTGGGTGTGGAGCTGAATTTCCCGTCAGTCTTGTGGCTGTGGAGAAAACTCAGAAATGCGTCTGAAGGGGGTTTGGAGCTGTAGTCTCAGGATTTCTGTAGCCCTAGCAGAACTTTATTGGGGTCCTTCCAACTCTTAAGCCCTTAGCACAGAGTTCACTTAAGACCTTATGCAAGTTCGCTTAATTTTATTCTTGCTTAAGGGTTTGCGTCTCCTTGCTTCTTGTGTGTTGTGTATACAATATCCCAAAGCCTGCTTGGATTGCATCTTTGCTCCCCCAGTGAGGAATTCAAGTAGTTGCTTATCCTCCCACAGATCTTTGGAAGTAGAATGAGCTTAATGCTAGCACTTTGTATTAGGCTGGAGGGAACTTTCCCTTCCAAAGTTCCCTCTTGAGAGCAGGAGAAGAGGGAAAGGGTTTTTGACTCCTTTCCCTGCCAGCCACCATCTTGCAGAATCTCAGTACCACCCCCAAGGGGGAGAGGGAGTCCCAGGGAGAAACTGAGCCTTCAGGAAAGGGTTAGACAGCTGCTCTCATACAGTGCTGTGGAAACACTGGATGTAGCTCCAGTGTAACGTCTGAGCCTAGCCTTAAGAAGGAGTGGCTTGCCCAAAGCCAACCTGGACGAGCAAGGGTTTGAACCTGAGTTCCTCATATGTAAATACCACTTTTTAGCCTTTGTAGAGCATGGCATTAAAAACTCATCACACATCAAGGCTGCAGTTCCTGGGTTATTTGACCTAGGAATTGTGGCGGTGAACAGAGCACATAGGTAACTTCCCAGAAAACAGTTTGTTTATGACTGAAACAACCCTGAGTTAGCACCTAACTCTGGGTACATGTGTCTAAAAACAACCCTGAAATGGGGCAATCCTGGCTTGTTCACTGAAAATTGAAACAAGCTGTGGTAGGCAGTGTGCTCATCATTTCACTTGTCCCCCAAGAAACAGCAAAAGAATTGCAAGTGTGATCTGTGGACCAGATTGTGGCATTTGTTGCTAGTTGCAAAGTCGTGTCCGACCCATCGTGACCCTATGGACAACATTCCTCCAGGCCTTCCTGTCCTCCACCATCCCCTGGAGTCCACCCAAGCTCACACCGACTGCTTCAGTGACTCCATCCAGCCACCTCATTCTCTGCCATCCCCTTCTTCTTTTGCCATCTATTGTTCCCAGCATCAGTGAGTCCTTCCTTCTCATTAGGTGGCCAAAGTATTTGAGTTTCATCTTCAGTATCTGGCCTTCTAAAGAGCAGCTAGGGTTGGCCTCCTCTAGGACTGACTGGATTGATTGCCTTGCGGTCCAAGGGACTCGCAGGAGTCTCCTCCAGCACCACAGTTCAAAGGTCTCAATTCTTTGGCACTCAGCCTTATGGTCCAACTTTCAGAGCCATACAGTGCAACTAGGAAAACCATAGCCTTGACTAAACGCACTTTTGTTGGCAGGGTGAGGTCTCTGCTTTTTAGTATGCTGTCTAGATTTGCCATAGCTCTCCTCCCCAGGAGCAAGCGTCTTTTAATTTCATGGCTGCAGTCCCCATCTGCGGTGATCTTGGAGCCCAGGAAAATAAAATCTGTCACTTCCTCCATTTCTTCCCCATCTATTTGCCAGGAAGTGATAGGACCGGATGCCATGAGCTCAGTTTTCTTAATGTTGAGTTTCAAGCCAACTTTTGCGCTCTCCTCCTTCACACGCATCAAGAGGCTCTTTAGTTCCTCTTCACTTTCTGCCATTAGAGAGGTGTTATCTGCATATCTGAGGTTGTTGATATTTCTTCTGGCAATCTTAATTCCAACCTGTGATTTATCTAGCTCGCCTTTCTCAGATTGTGAAAGATTGTGGCATGCTGACTACTAAATTTCTTAGAAGTTAGGTTCCTAGAGCTTGCTTTCTCCAGTTCTGGCCTTGTGTTGTTGGGGAGCAGAGAAGGGAATTGAGTGGGAAAGATGGAAGGTGCAGCTCTGTGGAAGAAAAGCAAAGCAAAGCAGCGCTCAGAGCAGTAATCAACTTGTTGATATTTGAAGGCAATGGACTGTTGTCATATTTCTTAAACACTCTGAGAATGTTCTTGCAAGTCAAACTGTGGAGGTTTGGTAGGAAAATTCCAAGCAAAATTCCAATGGAACTGTCTGATTCCTCCAATAACAGCTTGGACTATTCATGTTTAACTCCAGGTTTGCTTACAGCAAGATTCTTTTATTTTTAAAATCAGAATTGGTCACCCCTGACTGTGCCGCGTTTTGCTTCCTAGATGGAGACATGCATTCGTGTGCAAACATCCTGATTACAGAGCTCTTTGATACCGAACTGATCGGAGAAGGGGCATTGCCCTCCTATGAGCACGCCCACAGGTACCTTGTGCAGGTGAGGAATGAGCTGCACGCTTTTCTGTGATAGCGCCACTCGGTGGATGTGTTCCCATATATATACTGTAGCTAATCATTTAGCCCTTCTGTTACCCTTGGCTTCAACAGGATGGTGTGGTCCAGTGGTTAAGAGTGCAGGACTGGGATTCAGGTGATGTGGGTTAGCTCAGCCATGGAGCCCACTGGGTGGTGGTGTGCCAGTCATGGACTCACAGCCCAGTGTACCTCACAGGGTTGTTGTGGGGATAAGACTGAGACCAGGAGGAGGAGAATGATGGAAACTGCTTTGAGGTCTTTGTAAGAAAAAAAAAAGTGGGATATAAATCAAATAAATAAATAGGACCTCTGTAAGAGAAGCATCTTTAGAATGGAGAGCATTTATCTAGTTTGACTGTATCCAGTTTAAAAAACAATCGGCTTTGAGGATGTTCTCATACCATGGGGAATGGCATGGAGACATGAGGAAACAAATTATAGTAAAGGTATGATCCTGTGTACACTCACTGAATGAAGCAGTGACTTCAGCAGCAGTTCCAATAAATTTCAGAGGAGGCAGCTTGGCCCAATCAGTCAAGAGACGTTGTAGACGAGCAGGCTTCGTCTCTTGCCCCTGAATCCCAGTTTTATGTGCACCCCACATTTTTTCTGACAAGTTTACATTCACACCTGATGTCAAATGAACCTTACTCAATGCCTTTGTTGTCTTTCTTGAGCAGGAAGGATGCGAGGCAGTGCCTCACAGGGCAACAGTGTATGCCCAGTTAGTGGAATCCAAAAGAATGTGGTCCTGGAACAAGCTATTGCCCATTCATGTCCAAGCAGAAGATGGCGAGAAGATTATCGTCTCCCCTCCAGAAATGGAGAACTGTCCTGGAGCCCCTTCAGTCTATGATATTCAACTGAATCAGGTGCCTTTGCACGACTTCACAGCACTCAGTGAAGTCGTTAAAATGTTCAGGTGAGTGGTGGTGTTTCTAGGTATGTCTGTATAGAATTAAGGCATGGCATTCCCTGCTTTTCCATCTTCAATTCTCAAGGTGGATTGCAACTTGTTCTAAAAGTCGTGGATCCTAAAATGTAACAATTGTAAAGAAACCTATCCAGCAGAAGAGTAAAAGCAGCAGCAGAGCAAAACCTCTGTAGTAGCCCTTGAAAAGCCAAGAAATCAGCAAGTGCCTTCATTTGGTTCCAGATGAATGGATTCTACTGATACAGAGCTGTGATCAGGCAGGCCCCACCCAGAGAGAGATTTTAGCGACTGGGCAAATCCATAAGGGAGAATGACCTCAAACACCCTGGGTTCTAGGTGATGTAGAGTTTTAAAAGGATAAAATCAGCTCATTGGTTTGTGCTGGAATCAAACTGGTAGCCAATTTTTACCTCAGAATATTGCGGGTTCAGTTCCAGACCACCTGCAATAAAGCGAATAACACAATAAAGGAAGTCATACAATTTTTTTTGTATCCCAGTCCATATAGAAGTTATGTTCACACTATACTGTAGTCTGTTAAGTGTGCGATAGCAGTATGTCTTCAGTGAGTCTTAATCTTTTCCTGGGGAAGGGTCTTGCCTCCAAGTTGACGGCTGCTGACTGATCCGGGAGGTGGTTGTTGAAGGCTGAGAGGCTGTGGCAATTTCTTAAAATAAGACTACAAGTTTGCTGCATCTGTTGACTCTTCCTTTCATAAAAGATTTCTCTTTAAAATGCAATGCTGGTTGATAGCATTTTACCCTCAGGAGAGCTCCTTTCAAAGCTGGAGTCAGTCCTCCCAAAGGTTTATGCAATTTTCTAAATCCTTTGTCATTTCAACAGTCTTCATGGCATCTTTCACCAGGAGTAGATTCCATCCCAAGAAACCACTTTCTTGCTGTACCATGAGAAGCGCAACCCTCGCCCCTTAAAAGTTATTATGAGATAGTAGCTGTCTTACATGGGTATGATTTGTGGTCCCCCAGAACAATTGCAATAGGGAAATCAAAGATCACAGATCACCATAACAAATTGAATAGTGATGAAAGAAAGTTTGAAATATTGTGGCACAGAGGCACAAAGTGAGCAGATGCTCAAGACAGGGTTGCCTCAAACTGTCAATTTGTAGAAAATGTAGTATCTGGGAAGCGCAATAAAACAAGGTGTGCCAGTGCATCCGTATGATGTGTGGAGTTACACAGACACACTCACCCCCGTGGATACAACAAAAAGAATGTATTAAGTTTCTAGAATCCCATCGTTAATGAGGAATAAAGTTGTTGGCAAGATGTCACCCGATACGTTGACGTACCGTGATGGCTTGATGATGCTGGCTGTGCTGCTTCTCTTGGTGACACTCACAACATGCAGCCTCATCTCTGCCATTTTTATTTATTTATTTAGAAAATTTCTATGCTGCCCCATTCGCCGAAGCCTTGGGGCGGCTCACAAATATATCAATTAAAATATTATACAGTAAAAATATAAAACAGGTTAACAATATAAAATAAGTCGCCCTGGCCGAAGAATAAAATAAATAAATAGTATTAACAATTAAAATGACGTTTGAATAAAAAGGTCTTCACCTGGCGCCGAAAAACAAATAACGACGGGATTTTAAAAAAGCTTTGTCCTGTTGACATCAGCCAGTTATGCTGTGTGCATATTTATTTGATTTATGCCCACGTTTTTCTTAGAAAGAACTCAAAGTGGCTTACATCATTCTCCTAATCCTCACAAGAACCGCCCTTTGAGGTAGGCTGGACCGAGAGTCAGTGACTGGCCCAGAGTTGCCCAGTTTGCTGAACGCTGAGCGGGGACTGGAACCCAGGTCCCCCGAGTCCGAGACCTTTGCTCCTAACTGCTACACCACCTGGCTCCCTGTGTGCCTGTGGCCATTGGTCCTTTGCATGTGCTGTTTCACAGTGCAAGTGAGCGGGTTCTTTAGAACGAGCTGATTGCAGTTCACTCTTTTCCACAGCATAGACTTCAGTAAGCGAGTGAGCAGAGCTTCTGCCTGCTACACGGTGCAGCTGAAGACCATCGCGTCTGGCAAAGCCCAGGTGGTCCTCTCCTGGTGGGATGTAGACATGGACCCCGCAGGATCGATAAAATGTACAATGGCCCCCCGTTGGGCACAGGCTGCTTCTGAAGATATCCCGGTAACGTATTCAGCCCTTGAAAACTTCTCTGCTCTTGGTAACCCTTTAAGGCTACTGGGTGGATGGAAAACACGTTCCTAGGTGGTTCTTTGTCTAGCTCTCTGGAAAATGTGTCGCTCTCCTTGCTAGGCCTGATTCGAATGTGGTTCTGGATGCGGCCGTGGGCGGGGGGAGCGTGAGCCCTGTGGCCATCCCTTTGGAAGGCCACTGGTGAGCATGCCGGGCACAGGAGAAAGTCGTGCTGATACGCCCAGCACGGCGTGCTCAGGGGCAGTGTTCCAGTTGAGGCACGGCCCCAGCTCCGTGGCAGTCTGTGGTGTCGTAAGTGCGGTGCCCCCCTTTGGCTGGGCCATCGCTCCAGGCATCTGGTTTATCAGCAGAGACTCTGCTGACCCGTGTAGATGAAAGGATGGCGTTCGCTCCCCGCAGATGCCTAGCCTGCCCAGCTCTGCACCCTCCCAACGTGTTGGACTCAAGCTGCCAGTGGAGCAACACGCCCGGAGTGCAGTGGATCAGGGGAAGGCTGCTCTGGGCGAGCGGCAGCTTATGTTAGGAGCATCTGCTCACCTGCATATTGAACCTGCCCAGCATGCCACCTCAGAGGCACGTGCTCAATGTCACTGCTTCCTGATCTCACCAGAGTGCAGCCCTCTTCAGCACTTCCTGAAATTGTGCCCATGCTTTGCATTCCTGTCCTTTCTCCCGTCCAGTTTGAACAGGGGCCTTTCACAGACATGCTTTGGTCTTCACTGACACAGGCTCAGTGGACGAACATAGCAGTTCACTTTCTGTGGTGCACACACCTGCGTGCAAACTCGCTGGGCATTTCCTGTCAAGGAAAGATGAACCGAGGTCTTGCAAACACCTTGCCAAGTTGTCCTCCTGCCGTATGTTGTGTCTCTGAAATGGAGCCCACGTGCCTGCTCGCTGCCCTTTTGTCTGCTGCTCCTTAATTCGTGCATTTCCCCCACTCCCTTTCACACTTTTCCAGTGGAGAGATCATTGGATGCAGTGTGTATATTTCCTTCCAACGGAACAGCCTGTTCGCCAGGGCCAGTGTGTGGAGCTGACGGCCTTTCATGACGATTACTCGGTGTGGTACAAGCTCCAGAAAGGCAGGTAAAAAGCTTGGGGTAAAAGCAGAAAGAGGTATTTGAAGAGTGCTAGGCTGGAAGGCCTGCATTCTCGATGAATGTAAGCTGAGGAGGGTCGTTATTTTAAGGAAATGTAATTAAACCTGGGCTATTGTCTGGTATGATTAAGTGCTCTGTAATGAGAATTCTGAGCATAAGCTGCGGAGCAACTGTACTTCAGAGTGAGAAGAGAAAGTCTCGGTGATAGTACATCTGGAAAATAGCTCTAAGGAATAATTGGATCAGCTACCATAATGCGCTCTTTAGAACTATTCTTTAGTATCTCCTGTGCTTCACACTTTTTCTGAGTCTGAGAGACAGAATTCTTCACCAGTGTTAACAACTGCCTGAGTTTGTTCTCTGCTTTTCCTGAAAAGAGAACAAGGATATATGAAGGTAGAGCAGCTTTTCCTAACTTCTTGTCCTCTTGATGCATTTGACTACAGCTCCATAGTCTTCAGGACAGTATGGCCATTGGCTGAAGATCGTAGTCTGGTGCATTTGGAAAGCACCAGCGTGGGGAACGCTGTGCTAAAGAATGCCTTCAAGGGACAGATGCCGTTAAAAAACCCCTTGAAAATGGTAATAGTCGTCCCAACAGGAAGTGGAAGAGTACACAGCTCCCTTCCTACTGGCTATTCCAGATCTGTTACCCAGAGGGCTATACTCTGGCAATTAAGCCCTTACTAGTGACTAGCTTTTGCTTTTCGGGAAAGCCGCTTGCTTGCTTGCTTGGAGAGCCACAGCGTCCGCAAGACAGGTGCACAAACCAAAATGGGAGACCTGTTAACGTTTCACATGAGCAGCATGGGAGCTGCTTTTCTGCAGATTAAGCCCAGAGCGCTGCTGTGATAGCAGACGGCCTGCAGCTAGGTGGGCAGGGTCCCTTGTGCCTTAGGGGCCCCCAGCCCTGGCAAGGCCCCTCTGCTTCTGGCCCTTTCCCTGGAGAGTCTGCAAACTGCAGCAGCCAGTAAGGCGAAAGTGCAGCTCAGGGGCTGCCTGCTGTCCTTTTGGAAGTTTCCCTCACTGTGGACAGGAAGCTTGGCAAGAGTGACGAGGCATTTCTAAGACAGGGAGCCAAAAGCTAACCTGGCCACTTTCTAGGTGTATGAGGCACCTTACTTTCATAAAAGTTCGCTTTTCTGAGAGGGGAGCTGGAAGCAGACCACCCTGGAACCCTTCCAAACCAGGAGCCTTTATAGGTGGGAGATTGGGAGGACCCCTGGAGAGACCCTTGGGGGTTTCTTGTGCCAGGGAATACAGCAAGGCGGTGTTACACTTTCCACTTTTTCCTGATGTTTAAGGCACTTTCCTTTGGCTGTTTAGGCATGGAAAAGCCTACAGCTCCCAGCATAGCTGGCTAGGGCCTGCAGGGGGTGTAGGTCTTTTTTTCCTGTCTGAACAGGCATGGGATCACTCTGTGAGGGGCTCTGCTCTGTCCTTGCTTTCCTGTGTGTGAAGAGGGGCATGGAGCTCTTGGATCCGCTTCCAGGGCTTGTCATTCCAGGGCTTGGGTGCTCTCCACCAGCCCTGCAGCAACGCTTTCCTTTACTCCACTGAACACAGACAATTCAGGCCGAACACTGGCACAAATGCCTGGTAAACTGTCCCTTAATACGTAAGAGCTGATCTGAGGCGAACGCAGGACCGAGTGGGTGATGATATCCCAACCTTTAGAAATGCAGACGTGAAGAGCGCCATCCGTGTCGAGAGTCCCGCGTGTTGGTGTCAGGCCCACCTGTTGTGGAACCGGCCACGGTTCGGGGAACTGAACGATTCGAGCCGAACATCCCAGTACATACAAGCTCTGCAGAAAGTGAGTAGGCCTTCCAAAACCGCTGTGATGTCTCCCTGCACGGGGCCTGTAGATTACCATGCTGCGTCAGTCAGTTCGGGGGAGCGGGCAAGGGAGACATGGCTTGCTCCTGCCAGCTTGAGCGTACGAGGAGGGACGAGGCTGGTTCCTTTAAAGGTTCAGTTCTGTTCAGATAAAGGTTCAGTGCAGATAAAGGTTCAGATAAACAGATAAAGGTTCAGTGCAGATAAAACTCAAAGCGTGCTCCAGGTTGGTCTGTCTGAGCGTCCATCGAGTTGCAGTCTGTCTCGTCCGTACTCGCCCCAAGGGCTCACTTGCACCACGCAGTCGGGTTTAGGCAGCACTTCCAGCATCAGGGAAGGAGCCACTCCTGGGTGGCAAGTAGCCCGCTTCTCCCACTTGCCCCACCCTTGCTGTCACGCTGTATGAGCCAGGTTGGTGAAAGATGCTCAAATCTTTCACAGGCACAAGTTGCTGTGTTTAAAAGGCAAACAATGCACTTTTTTAACCATACAGGCTTAGCTTACTGATAGGCTGTGACCGATTAGAGGCTAAATTCTCTGGGCAGAGTGATCGTACTGCTGTTGTGCTTGGATTTTATTAACAGAATTAGTCCAGCCATCTGTTTTTCCTGTCCTCCAGACTTCAGTTAAGTCTCCTTCCTTAAGTCTGTCGTTCTGTATTACCTCTAGCACCTAATGACTGAAATATGGTGACATGCTAATAAAATTCTGCAGTCCCACTGCTTGGTCTTAATTATCATGATCTTATATATCATCCCTCAGAAAAACGGGCTCTTGCTCATGGAAGTTTATGCTGTCATAAATCTCTTGTCCTGTGACAACTTAAAAGGCTTGCTTCCTGTCTTTGCACAACAGACTAAAAGGGAGGCAGGAAGGACCGTGCACTCTGAAGATGAATTCTGGCACGCTGGCCATTGACAGCGTTTTGCCAGTGCTGGATGTAAGAGCCCCCGGAACAATGGTGAAATCCCATTTCTTACAGTAGCGTCTTGATAGGATCCACAAATAGCATGGGGCCAGAATTCCAGGAAGCCTTTCCCACAGTTCGTCAGAGGACAAGCATGTAGCACGAAGTGGCATTTCCATCGGCTGCCTTCGCGTTTTCAAAAACCTGTTTCCTCTTTCCTGTATGACCCGGCATAGCTAATGGATGTGGTCCCAGTGCAAAAAACCTGGTTTCTAAAAATGGCCCTGTAGACACTTGTAATAACCAGTGTTCTGTGCGTTCCAGCCACAAATGCTTACCTAGTGAAAAAAACGCATGCATTATCCTTAAGATTTCATCAGTTCTGCTTGAGATTTGGGGGATTTTAGTAGCTGCCAGGTAGTGACAGCATTGCACAAGGAAATGCTTTATTGGTGAACTTTTGGAACTGCAAAGAAGAGCACAGTTGAAAGTTTTCTCTTCACCCCACAGGTTCTCAAGCCAAAGAGCGTTTGCCTGAGCGTCAGTGACGGCAGCCTCCTTCCCCTGCTGGCTCATCACCTTGGGGTGGAACAGGTCTGTTTTTTTAATTATTTATTGATAAATTTATATCCTGATTTTGTCTCTTCTTAAAAGAACACAAAGCGGCTGTCGTCATTCTCCTCTTGTTGCTCTCCATCTTATCCCCACAAGAACCATGCAAGGTAGGTTGGGTCAAGAGTCTGTGACTTTGGCCCAGAGTCACCCAGTGGGCTCCATGGCTGAGCAGGGACTTGAACCCAGACCTCCAGAGTCCCAGTCCTGTGCTGTTAACCACACCACACTGGCTCTCTGGTTTGTTCTTGTTTGTCCCCATGCTTGGAATGCTTGCTGTTAATATGGGCTGGCTTTGTTTAGATTTTTATATGTTGTTTTAGATCTATCAGTTTTGAGTGCCTTCCTCATCAGAGCAGTGGATGGTCTGCATGTCCGTTAAGGCTGCACCCTCAACCTTCCACGACCCTCTTCTTGGAAATCATTTCACACATTCCTCATTCCATCCCTTGCCTCTAGCACTCTGGTTCACTTAATTTCTTTCTGTCAAATCCTTCTCCAAAACCCCACCTTGAAGCTGTTGGCCTCCGGCCTTAGTCCCGTTGCCCAAGTGCAATAAAGCATTAAGTATTTATAACTGCATTTGCCTGTATAAATCATGATAATAGACTGTAATCTTGACTGACTAGAACAGAATTAATCTGTTAGTTCCTGCCAGATCATATAATGAATGGATCATATTTCCCATTTATATTTGGAAGATGTGAACACATCTTCAATTAGCACTCTTTTTTCCCACCTAATTGCCAGTTTGATCTCCCAGAATTCCCACATGGACCCCAACTGAAATAAAAACTCCCTTGCTTTTCAGAAACTTAAGGAGGCAGGAGAAACTTGGTGCTTTTGGAAGCAGTGGCCAGATCCAGCAGTTAATTGCCCTTCTTGAGGCTTCAAGCTTGTGGGATCTACTCTGTTTTTTTACTAGAACTTGGAGTTCTGCCAACTGGTACAAAAGGCATGCACTTTGAATTTCAAAAAATCGCATTGCTTTTGAGTATAGAAGTGAACAAAGCTCTCATTCCTTTCACACAAAAATGCACTTCTGCTGTTCAGCATATTCTTCATTTCATTTAAGGCAGGCAGGGTATCCATGGATTTGTTTCTTACATTTCTGTACTGCCTAATAACCAAAACACTCTGGGAAGTTTACAAAGATGAAAAACATAAAAATGTGCTGTAGTATAAACCCAGGTGCATATAAAAATACAGCTATTTTAAGCAATCAGGAATAAATCCCAGGACCTTTTAAAATCTTACTCTCGGCTGCCAAATGCTTGGTAGTAGGGGAAACTTGCACCAAAAAAGAAGGCAGTGCTCGGGCCAGGCAGGCTTCACTGGGAGGGGTGGCTATCATTATGAGGGTCCTTCCTCTTGTTCCCACCTTCCTAACCAACTTCAGAGGAAGCATTGGCAGGAATGGCCTCAGACAATGGCCGGACTCTATGGGCAGGCCCTTTTTGTTGCTGCTGCCATTAAATGTCTGGGAGTTGGACATTCTTGCTGATCTACTTCAAGTCACCCAGGGATCCAGATCTGTCTTCCTGCCGCTCCTCGTAGAAGGCTGGCAGTGCCTGGAGGATACTTCTGCAACAGTCCTGCTTCTGAGCTCCTTGCAGGGTGGAACAGGGCTGTAGGCGTCATATATCCAGAGTGTTGCAGCAGTCAGGTGGGGAGGGAGGAGTGTAGTTAGGGTCTCTGGTGAGGCCTCGGTCTTGGCCCACGATCACTCAGGAGAACAGCTGCCCCCTTCCCTGTTTTCACAAAGAGTCACCACTTGAAACTTGTTAAGTTTTGTTCTTCGTCTAGGTGTTTACTCTGGAGAGCTCGGCGCTTTCTCATTCGCTCATGAAGAAAGTAAGTAATTAATTTTCATTCTTTTGTGTACATGTGCATGCATTATCACCTTTTGGTCAGTGTGCCGTTCACATTCAGTTGGGTGAGCCCCAGTTGAATCTCCGCCGATTTCACTCCATTATTCAGACCCATGGTTGGAACATGGGCTGTGAATAAAACATGAGTTGCTTTTCCTTGCGTTGGTTGGGCTTGCATTCTTGCTAGGCTGGCTCAAAGTCTGACCTGGGGTCATTTTGGATTCTGGTCAGAGTCCCCCATGTTCAGATACAGCACAAATACTTGAAGGGACTGATTTGGAAGGCTGTGGATTTATTTATCTCATTTCTATACTACTCCATTGCCAGAATGCTCTGGGCACTGTACAACAGTACAGAAGACTGCAATAAAATCTCAACAAAGAAACATAAAAAGCTAAAAATACTGAAGAATGATGCTGGGATGAGGAATCCCCTGAGTAAGCAAGCATTCTTGTTTAAAAGCCTCGGTGTAAAGGGCTGTCTTAATCTGGCACCAAGAGAGGACAAGGATGGCCCCAGGTGTGCTGCAGTGGGGAAGTAATTCCGTCAGTGGGGCTGCCACAGAGAAAGCCCTCCCCCTGGTGGCCGCCCTCCACGCATCTCCTCAGATAGTCTCTCAGAAGGAGGTCCCATCTGTTGCCTGCAGAGCCTAGGCGGATCGCGGTTGGGAGAGGCGCTCCACCAGGTATTGCGGTCCCAAAACAGGTGGGCCTTACTGGTTACAGGCAGCACCTGGAGTTGGGCCCCGGCGCATGTGGCAGCGGGCCAGACAGGCCCCTGTGTGCCAGACCCGTTGGCCCCGGGGACTCATCCGCTGCAGCTCTTGAGCAGCCCGTGCAGGTGGCACTGCCGTCTCCTGAGGGGGAGGCACTGGAGCATAAACGGCCGCGGTCAGGCCGCCGCTGGAGCTGGGGCGGAGCCGGGCAGGAGGCCGCCTTGATGCAGGCGACCGAGAAGCGCACCCAGGCGATGGCATTCCCCCCTAGAGCAGGCCGAACACCCTCTGTATGGGCAGAGGAGCCACTGCCAGCAGCATCTCAGTCCTGCTGGAGCTTCGTTTTGCAAGCCCCCCCGCAGTCCGCCGGCACGGCCAGGCACATCCTCCCCCTGCTGACGCTGCGAAGGGGAACTGAGCTGCCTGCAGTTGGTGTCCTGATGGCAGCGTCCTTCCAAGCGTCAGGCCACCCACTTGGTGGCTTCGTGCGGCTGCTGAACAGCACAGGGCTCAGAAGAGGCCCCTGAGGAACTCCACGCTGGAGAACCTGCGGCGCTGGGCAATATTCCTGAAGCGCCACCCTCCAGGGACAGCCCTCCCCATGGGAGCAGAACCACTGTGACACACCATCCCCACTCCAGCCCGGGGAGCTGCCCCGGGGGGCTAGCGGGGTCCCAGGAGCTGCAGCTCCTGTCCCAGCAGAGGCCACCCTGCAGGCCAGCGAGGCTGCTTCCATGCCAGAACCAGGCCTGACCCCAAACGGAAGTGGGTCTAGACAGCCAGTCCCATCAAAAAATGTCTGGACTTGGTTGCCCTCCACCCCCTTAAGGACTTTCCCCAGAAAAAGAATCTTTCCTACCTGCCTAAAGTTCTGAAGGTCTTCCCAGTCAAGGGAGTATTTCTTCAGGAAGGGCTTTGCCATCGTCCCGTTCAGGAGGCATGGGACCCCTCCCTCGTGCAAGGAGGCATCAGTCACCTCCCCGGCCCAGCTGGTGATCCTTTCCCTGCCGGCTTTGATAAGCCAGGAAGGGCAAGGATCCAGCCCAAAGGTGGTGGCACAGCTGCCCACTTCCTTGGACTGTGCCAGCTGAAGTTCGTCCAGTATAACTGGGCTGCGCTCGGGGAATTGCAGCAGGCCCTGCTGCCGTACCTCTGGAGTTTTAAGTCCCAGCACATGCAAGAGATCTTTTCTTGCAAGTGCGCAGCAGACAGATTACACCAGGCCTCAGGTGGCTCTGAGATGGCTTCGGGGCTGCACATAACAATCCCTGGACAATGCTAAAAAGTTCCGCTGGGCAGCGAATGGAGGAGTGACGAGAGACAGTGAAATCTTGCCTCTTTGCCTCCCTCGGTGTCCCTCGGTATATCCTGTTGAAGGCGCGTACCATGTTTGATTGCATCCATGGGGAGTTTCCCTCCACCTGCACTCAGGTCTTCCCCTGTGCTTGTGCATCATGCTCAGCTCCAGTGGATACCACGGAGCCTTCCAGAATCCACAACAGAGAGGACACTTAGGAGTGATTGTGCCAACCCTCTGGGCCATTTCTGCGCTTCACAGCTCAGCCAGGGCATTGGCACGAACACCAGCCATGTTGGCCAGAAAGACCCCAGAGCCCCTGGAAACCACCTGGAGCTGTTAGCCTTTGGGGGTGGGTCATCTTAACAGGTGCCCCCACCTTTGCAGAAAAGCGAGGCTGCCATCAGTCAAAATCTCAGCAGGTGGTGATCGGACCATGATAAAACCAGAGCCGCTTACACTCAGCACCCTCTGCATATCCAGCCAAAAAGGCCGTGTCTGGCTCATGCCCTCCTCCTTGTGCTGGGCTGGTGAAATGGTAGGGCAGCTCCAGGGTCGTCATCGAGGGCACGGGATTCCAGACTCCCCCGGAAGCAACAGCATAGAGGACACCCCCATCAGCTCAGGCAGGGGGCGAGGGGTCGCGGGCTGGGCAGTGTGCCAGCAGAGTCCCCCACCTGCCTCACTAGCCCAGCACAAGCTGCAACCACTCCAGGCTGGCCCTTGGACAGGCAGGGTGTCTGGAGAGAGCGAATGCGTACAGGTCATGGCAGTGCCCCCTACCTGACCTGCAAGTCTGTGCTGATGTGGCCACAAGTACCTGGCAGGCACAACTCTTCCCTGTTTGCCTCTCAGTTACACGCGTCTGATCAGTCACCTCATCCACTGTTAAATCATGGGGGGGGGGGGGCGGCTGGTCCTGCACGGGTCTGGCATTTAAATGCTGCACCCTGAGTCGGGCTGTCATGGCAGCCATCAAACCTGCAGGCTCATGGAGGAGTGGAGCAGAGCAGAGCTGTTGCCTTTGGGGCCATGGTCCCCATATCTGGCCAGTCCTCCCAGCATCTCCCTCTGTACACTGCCTGGGCCCACTCAGTCTCCCCATTGGGCCAGTCCCAGGCATATGCCCACGTTAGCAGGTACAGCTTAAGGAGCCGGTGTCGTGGAAGTAAAGAGGCACCCTCAATCTTGTGCCATCCTGAAGGGGTTTCACCCTTTTGGGGGGTGGCCTGCTAGTAGGGGTCCCCAGCCAGCAGCCATCCCTCCATTTACCCCCCAGAAGGCGATTGATTGCCAACGCCAGGCAACTCCGCTCTGCATGTTGTGCTCAGCTCAGGCGGGACTGGCAGCTGGGGGCTGCGGGGGGACAGTGTGAGCGAAAGTGCTGCAGTCCAATTTCTCAACCCATCCAGGGCCTCTTCACCAGTCTCAGGGTGCAGAGCATCCAGCCAGCATCCTGGATATGTATGACACATAACTTGAAAGGGTAAAGTCAAATCTGATAAGGTAATGATGTGATTGTTGCCATTTTCACTCACACTTTTGTCTCTGTGTTTAACACCTGGTTTTATCCTGGGGGTTTTCCCTCTCCTTGAAAGTACTGCAGAAAAAATTGGAACACATAAAAAGATGCCTTACGGACTCCCTAAATAGATGTCTTACACTGGAAGAGGAGGATTTTTTGAAGTCCCAAGTCCCTCTGTCTCTAAACAAGTGGCTAACTATAAAAAACTAAAATACAAGGATTGAGCTTCTGAGAGGAAATTGATGGCATACAGTCCTTTGCAGGAGCTAAGTTGGGATGTTAAATTAGATTGAATCTTGTTCATTGATTAAAAGCCTTCTCAGAAAATAGTTGTACTAGTAATTTTTTGGCCAATTAGTGCCCCTGGTGTTTTACATGGAAATTAAAAATGGTTGAACCAGTTCATTTATCAGACGTTCTCTAAAACCATCTGCAAGATAAATGCGTCAGCATCTTTCTTAGGGTGAGGGCTGAAGAACCACCTGAGAAACTGCAGGTCCAGCCATCTGCCAGGTTTCGCCATGACATGAGCAAAGAACTGGGTTCGCCCCACCCAGCTTCGCGTGAAGCAGCTCAGGTGCACAGTGGCAGATGCAGCCGGCTAGTCTGCTGCAGAAATTCAGCAGCCAGCCTACAGAAAGGTTCTTACCTTTCCAATGGGCAGGGCAGGGTTTTTTATGTTTTAGGTCACAGAATAAGTGTGATTGGAATCCAGAAGGTTCAGTCCCTTCAGATAGCTGTCTGCTGGAGAGAGGTGTTGGTGCCCCATCATCGGACGGTTCAGGTGTTGCCTAAGCAGTCCCTGCCTTCAGCCTCATCTGGGCATTTGTTGTTGAAATCTCTTGGGGGCATGAGGTGACATGGGATGCAGCCCTGCGCACATTAGGCAGAAGGAGGCCTACAAATCCTGGGATGTCCCAGCGTGTCTGCCGCTACAAAACAGCAAACTGATTTGCGCCAAGCCAGGAGCCAATCTCCCTTCCTGGGCAGGAGGAGGGAGCGTGGGGTCGAGACCCATGTTCCCCAGACTACCGTGTAGGGTTATGTTTTGCCTGAATACTGCCATCGTTCATTGTCTTGCTGGGTGTATTACTAGTTCAGGCATTTGTTTTTCTTTTGCAATGGTGAGAGCAAAGGATATCTTCTATTTAGTTCTTCGAAATAAATCCTTTTCCATTCCAAAATGTGGTTTTCTTTTTGGAGGATCTGGATGTCTTTCACTAATTCATAATTTAATTCATAATTTATTGTTGTCCTTCTTAGAGCAATGCTGAGCTAAACAAAGCATCACTAAGAGCTGTTTCTTTTTCATAAAGATTTGTAAGGCCAACCATCTCGAAGATAAAATTAAGATCATAGAGAAGCATCCCGAATTGTTGAGCTCCTCTGATCTTGATGACAGAAAGGTAAGATGACTATTTTCTTTGTGACTGATAACACAGTCATTGGCACACCTGAAGTCCCAAGTATGTGGGGAGAAGGCTGTCACTTAAAATAGCTCCCTTTTAACAGAATAGTAGCCTTTCTCAAAGAACAGGGCATGTTGAACAGGAAATCATTTCCCCACCAGTTTGCCTGATTCTGTTGCTTCCAAGATTGGAACGTAGAAAGTTGCTGGGTTGTGCAAGCCAGTTGCAGCCTCGTTTCAGCCCATGTTTTGGTGTGCTGTGGACATGAACCAAGGAGCCTTGGGTCTGCAGCCCCGTGATTTGGTGCTGAGCCGACCCCCTGTGCCGCCCTCGACTGAGAGGCCACAGTTGTTTCTTCTGAACTGACATACTCCACACATAGGCCATGAGGTAAATGTTAATTAAGGCTTGCCTCACAGGTAAACCTACTTTTCTCTCAGCACTTGACTGAACCTCCAGCACTAAGCAGTCTCCTGTTGAGAATATGGATCACTTGCACAGAAAAATGCAGTGATGTGATATGAAAAAGTTTGTGAGCTCAAGCGTGCTGCGTGGCCCTCTCGCCCCAACATCAGCATCTCTTCAGGTGTTTGGCGAAGCCGGGGAGGCCAAAGTGCCAGGCTAGCGGTCACCCAGACCTGAGCTGCCTGGCGCGGGATGCTCTTTCTTGGAATACAAATGCGTGCAGCCCCTGGCCAGAATAGCAGAGCTGAGGTGCCTGGTTTAAAGGAGAAGTGAGATATACCTGGTGCTACGGGAACCTGGTGGAATGGAGAGATCTGAGGGGGCATGGGCATCTCTGGATATGTCCTCTGTAGGAAGAACGAACTGGAGAGCTGGTTGCTCTGCGTATTAAAGAGGGCATTGAGTCCAACAGACTTGAAAACCTAAAAGGCCCTGTGGGAGACAAGGCTTGGCTCCAGTACATGCAAGGGACCAGGTGATATGAAGCAGGTGATCCCGAGATGGAAGATGATGTAGGGAATTCTCAGAATGAAGTGCCACACATCTTCCGCTATCCCTTTGTTGAGTGCATGAGTCCATGTTCCAGTTTCAACAAAGATCAAATTTCTCCATGTCCCAAGCAATTGTGCCCTAGAGCAGTTGGTCATTGGGACCAACCAGAGGAGAGGCGATCCTGGATTTAATCCTTAGTGGGAAGGAACCCAGGAACTAGTAAGAGATGTAAATGCTGTTGAACCGATTGGAAAAAGTCACCACATCAGATTTAATGGTGCTGGATGATGGGTAAGAAAGAGGAATCTTTCCTAAAAAGAAATGAGCCGCTAAAAAGAAAATTGAAAGAAGGGGCAAGAGACTTAAATCAGAATGTTTGGGGGTTAGTCAAAACCATGATAATAGGAGCTCAGACAATCAGACAACACCAGTGAGGTTAACGAGCCATGTCCAGGAAGCTGTTAAGGAAAAGAAAATTTCATTCGGGAAACAGAAGCTTGCCCAAATGAGGAGCACAAAGGGGAGCACAAGCTTTCACTGGGGAGGTGTGAGGTTCCGCAAAGCAACGGTGTGGGCAACACAGCAGTTGTGGGATCATGTGGGCAGCCAGCTTGGCACGGTGTAAGCAGAATGCTGGACGGGGTGAACCCTTGGTCTGATCCAGCACAGCTTGTCTTAGACTCCGTTTCTTTTCCTCTCCTCCCCTCAGGTGTCCATTTTAATTGGCGAGCCCTTTTTCTCCACAAGTTTACTGCCTTGGCACAACTTGTATTTTTGGTATGCCCGGACAGCAGTGGCAAGCCACCTTGCAGGCGATGTGACCGTCCTGCCCCAGGCCGCTTCCCTTCACATGATGATCGTGGAGTTCCAGGTGCAGACGCTGCGTCCTGTTCTTGTTCTTTTCCCGAACACTAGTTTTTAGCTTCAAGCTTAGCATGTCTGAACATGTCTAGCATCAATATTTTGTTTTATTTATTTATTTGATTTATAGCCTTCTTTTTTCTTACGTACTCAGAGCGATTTACATCATTCTCCTCCTGCTGCTTTCAATCCAATCCCACAACAGCCCTGTGAGGCAGGTTGGGCTGAGCTTCTGCAGTTTGCCCACAGTCACCCGTGGCTGAGCAGGGACTTGAATCCAGGTTGCCTGAGTCCCAGTCCTGCGCTCCTAACCCCCACCCCACTCTGGTTCTTTTATAGTCACTTCTGAAAGTTTAGGCCACAGGTTAAGTTTCCCATGTGCAGTTTACAGCCTTGGAGAAGGGTGGTTTGAAGAGATTAAAACTCTGGATAAAATTTCACTGGCTTCCTCCAATTAATTTTCTTATGTTTCCTGATTCATAATTACAGAACTAAAGAACTTTTTTGTCCTTGTCCCTACAGGATTCAGCACCACCTGTGATATATTTCATACCAAGCAAACCCCCTAACCTAATTAAAGTCTCTGCAGTGCCGTATGGACTGCTATAAATGAAAGCTTTGTTTCTCATCACTCTCAACCACTTCATTTTCTTCTCCCCTGCACCCCATTGATATGCTTGGGGGCTTGCAGCGAAGAGAGTTTTGAAGAATTTGAAAACCTGCTCACTCCTTTGTCCTTTCTTAAATGATGCTAAGCAGTGGCATTATGCTACTTTCCCATTTGGATTATTTCAAATGGAACAATGGGGCTCCCAGCAAGCTTTATTCTAACTGTAAAAGCCTTTTAAAAGCATGTGGCATCTCCTACTTTTAAAATTTGCTCTGCATGGTGAAGACAAGAGTGCTATCATTGTTTTTCCAGAAATGGAAGAGCATTAAAAACCATGTGTAACTTTTTGCAAATATATTTGTGCATGGAGGTAAACCTCTGAGCTAAGTAACTTGTCTTGCCTACAAACACTGATATTGAAAGGATGCCCTACATTAAAATGGAGCTTTGTTACTTTAACACTCAGTGTTGGTTCTAAAATGAGAATTTGGATGCACCACTGACCTCGGTGGTATTTAATGTCTGAGTAAACATATTTTGAATTCTGCTGCTCATTGTTTAAGTGCACAGCCTGTTTGCTGTTTGGATTTTCTTTAGTGCTTCTGTGGTTTCATCTTAAATTACTTTGAGTTTATTTTGCAGTGTGTTTAACTGTATGTTCAAGGTAGAATAATACAGAAATTTAAAAAAATAACTGACCATATAATTGGCCATCCAGAGGTTTTATTGTGAAGAGTAACTTAAGAAATAGCTGACAGGATTTTCCCCATTTCACTGTCCTGGTAAATTCTTGGTCATTGGAGCATTGAAGAAAATGCCTGTAGCCTTCATGGCAGGAATGGAAGATGCCTCATGTTGATTCTCTGACATCATTTAATGATTTAGAGGACTGAATCCAGTTGCTTGAACCTTTCTGGGCTTATCACAACCAAGCCCATTTTGGACACTTCAGCTGTCCAGTAAGCTCGGCTGCTGAGATGAAATTTGGCTGCTGCATTTCATGAAAACTGTGATGATCTGTAGATAGCTCCAGAGCCCCAGCTTCCAGAACACCCACTGCACAAACCACGGTTCCTGCACCTAGCTGACGTCCTCCACGTCCCAAAGTTAGAAATAGGTGAGCCCTGCAGAGCATCTCATAACCAGTTACTGTTTTCCTGTCATTCTCATGCAGGTGCAGTTACTGCAACTTGCAAACAACATAATTTTGCTGCAGAAGTCCTGTTATGCGGCTCGGCGCTGCTAAGAAGCCAGCTAAGAGTTGTTGTCCCAGGAAAATCCCATGCTCTGTCAGCCTTAAAGATCCCCCCCCACTTCAGATTTATTTTGTGACTGCTAGGTGGTTTTGTAAAAATGCCTAATACTGAAAATGGGTCTCTCATTTTATTTGAGATTAAAATACAGTCACAGGCCGTGCAGTCCGTTAGCCTGAACCGAGCTTTCCGCATTTGAGTTCACGTAAACAACTCAACTGCTCATGCTTTACACATTCTGAGAAGGATCGCTGTGTTTCTTTTTCCCTAGGACTTGTGGCGAATCCGCAGCCCATGTGGCACCTGTGAAGGCTTCGATGTGCACATTATGGATGAAATGATCAAGGTGAGGTTCCCCTCCCAAGTCTGTCCGTGAGATGCCAGCAGAAGTTGCACCTGGGGGGTTGCATAGGGGGCAATCGATCGCATGCATCGTTCTAGCTGACTTCTGCTTCAGGCAAAGATCAGGGGCCAAACGTTCTTCAACCATCCTGCACCATAATCTCTCAGCTAGAGAACCTGGCACCTTGGAGGGCTTTGGCAAGTCCTCTCGTCGAAGCCCCCGGCGGTGCGTTCTCAAGCTGTGCGCCAGGATTTCAAACCCTTGGGTTGTCCTCAGCTTGGCCAACGAGACACTTCAAGCAGTGTTGTTTTGGGACCAAGGGAAGAATGTGTCTTGGCTGGGCTGGGCCCATCCCCACACTTAAGTTGTGACCACTTAATGTACACAAGATGTGCAGCAACACTTAAGGGGCCACGGAGTGGGAAGACACTGCATGAGAGCATTGCCTTCCATAAGAACAACTTCAGGCTGGCCTCATTTCCTGCTCTGAAGGCCCTGGCAAGGTCAAGCTTGGCCTGGCCTATAATACTCATCCAGGCTGGTGGGATCAGGGGCTGCAAAATGTGGGAAAGGAGCCAGATTTGGTAGTGGCCTCTGACTCGTGAAGATACAGAAGTCCCCAGCACTGCTCTTCAGAAGTATCTCCCTGCAGCTTTGATACTTCCGCTTGAACTGGTGTTGCAGCCCAAAATTGAAATGGACTTAATTGACATTGTTACCACTTAATGTACACAAGATTGTTTCATTGTGGTGCAAAAGTTCAGTAAACCAAAACAAACTGGCGCTTGTTTCTATTACCCCCTTGAGTCAATACTTTGGCAGTAGTTACAGCGGTACGTCTTCTCGGGGAAGGCGCTGTCTGCTTTGCACAGTGGGATCCTGTCTGCAGTGAGTGCCCATTCTTCCAGCAACGCTGCCCTCCCTCTGTCAGGGAGCAGCAACCTGCAAGTCTTTGGCCGGGTCATTCTTGTCTGGAAAGCATTGCTGTGTTTCTTCAGCAGTGTGTCCAGGGACATTGCCTCCGCAGTCCCAGCTCCCCTGTAGTCTGAAACAAGTTTTCCCTCTAGTGCTGCCCTGTATTTGGCTTTCCTTGGAGCATCCTTTATACCTCCATCCCGAGTAGCTTCCCATGCCCTGCTAGGGAAGAGTATCTCCACCACATGGAGCCAGTGTGGCGTAGTGGTGAAGAGCATGGGACTGGGACTCAGACGATCCGGGTTCGAGTCCCCGCTCATCCATGGAGCCAACCGGGTGGCTTTGGGCCAGTCACAGACTCTCAGCCCAACCTGCCTCACAGGGTTGTTGTTGTGGGGATAAGATGGAGGAGGAGAATGATGTAAGCTGCCTTGAGCCCTTTGTAGGAAAAAGGCAGGCTATAAATTGAAAAATAAATAAATAAAACATGGCGTTGCCGCCACCACACTTCACTTCAGGATGGTGTTCTTGGGGCAGTGGGCACTGTTTGAGTTTTTTTAAATGCAACCTTGATCTCTTCTATACAACTTTATCCCCAACTTTTAAAAATACTTACTTTTATTGCGCAATACGAAAACAGCCAGATTGTACTCTACAGAAAGTAAAAGGGAGAAATATAATATTTGAGTAATATTTAGGAAAGGAAAGGGATCCATAGCACTGGTTGCATATATATCACAATAATGCAAGGGGAAGTTGAAGGCGGAAGCAGAAGATCAACTATGAGAGGGTTCAGTTGCATAAAGGAAGCCGCGGCCTTGAGGCTGCGAGAGCTGAGCAGGGCTGCCAAGGGCAGGGCGGTCTGGACGGTTTTCATTCAGAGATGACTTGCTGGCACATAACCGCCTTTGGTAGCATCCAACAGACCATACTGTTCTTACTAGAAATACTTTGGTGAAGAATTCTTCCGCTAAGCCTCCTGCATCTTCCGGATGCTGTTTGTTCGGACATGCTTTCCGACAAATTCTGGGGCCTTCTGGAAAAAGACATTTTTCATCTGAGATGGAACTGCAAATAGGTGGAGCCGTCAACTATTTGCAGTGTGTGACTTCTGGAAGCCGCAGGTGGCCTCAGGGTTTATTGGGCGTGAAGTGGCAAAGGAGGTGGATACAACAAAGGTGAACACAAAGGAGGTGACGCAACCAGCAGGTGCCAGTTTGCATTCATTTACTTAGCTTTTAAGAGAGTAAGGAGAGTCCTGCTGGGTGCTCAGACCCAGGGCCCACCGTCCCTGACATTCTGTTCACAGAGGGGCCAGCCAGCTGCCCACAGGGACCCACAAGCAGAGTATGAGTGCCACAGCCCCCTTCTGCCACACTGGCACACTGCCTCTGGTGGCAGTGATCAAACGTGGTCATTAGGACTAGTTGCCGTCGATAGCCTTCTCCTCCACGAAGTTGTCCAAAGCCACCCAAAGCGGCTGTTTTACTTTACAGCACAGTGACAATACTCTGCACCTTCACAGCGCTGAGAATCTTGCATTCATCAAGTGGTAACACTGCTAATTGAGCCCATTTCAATTCCGGGCTGTAACACAACAAAATGTGGAAAAGCCGAATGGGGAGGGCAATACTTCTGCAAGGCAGTGAATGAACTGAGTAATGTAATCAAAAACAGGAGTGGCACCTATACACACCCTAAAAATAGTACAAAAAACCCTTACAGTAAAGGTCAGTCTGTAAAAAACTTCCCAATGCTGTAATAAAAGAAATGCAGCTGCAAGAAGAACCACACAACAGAAAAAAAGCAGGGAAAAAAACCCCAAAGGTCCATTGATGTTACTTAAAATAAAGAATGCTCCCAGGAGAACTTTTGTACCACATCCTTTTCATGGTAATAAGGAGTGTTTGCAAGTTCTCAGCCTTCATTGTTTGAGTGCACAGGACCAATTAACTTAATTGCAAAAATGTGTAGTTATTTGAAAGTACTACTTAGAAATGTCTGGGATGACAAGTTTAATGAGTCATGTTAACAGCTGCGAAGCTGTAGCAAAGGCTGCTGTAGAAAGGGTACATAGTCAAATGTATCCATTAAATTAAGAACAAATTCTTTTCTAGCTCCCGTAGGAAACCAGCTCTCAGGATTTGTGCAGCATTCGAGGTCTGCGTCTGGCAAGCTCAGATCCTGGGCATGCTGTAGCCCTTGCCCTGCCTAGCAGGGGCCTGACCTGGGACCTGGGACTTCTTTGACTTGTTCAGGGCCTTGCCATACACCCATGTCTGTAATAAGTACCTGGCCCAAAGGTCATGAAGATTGCAAAGCACGTGGCCAAATTGGAATGGATCCTTACAGAGGAAATAGGAATAGAAAAGCGGGTCCTTGCAGAACAAATGACAGGGCCGGGCCTTGAGTGGCCTGGGAGAAAAGGCAGGGCTTGAAGTCTCACGGTCGTGCCTGGTTCTTATTCATCCGCTACTGTTAATACTTTCTGCTTGCATAATCTTAGTAGACCCTGAAGAGCTGCACTGTTCCACTGGGGTGAAGAATTGTTTTGGGGCAAGAGGGTGGGCGGCCTTCCATTCTGCATCTCTTGGGCTGGGGGATGCCAGGCATCTCTTCTCTTCATGCTGGATGCAGGCAGAGATCTGAGTGCTGAGATAACAGGCTTGATATGGGGCAGCACTGGGACTTGTCCCCTTGGGGCAGAGTGCCTGCCTCTCTCCTCATTTGGTGGTGGGATTCACCCACAGAGGGAGCAGGGAGACTGCTTGTTCTCCTAGACTCCTTCCCTTTTAAGGAAGCGGTAGTCCGGCCAGTCCTGAAGAAGGCATCCCTGGATCCAGAGATGGCCCCCAATTATAGAAGGGTGGCCAACATCCCGTTCTTGGGCAAGGTGTTAGAGTGGGTGGTGGCGGGACAACTCCAAGCACTCTTGGATGAAACTGATTATCTGGACCCATTTCAGTCCAGCTTCAGACCCGGTTATGGTACTCAATCTGCCTTGGTCGCCCTGTATGATGACCTGTGCAGGGAGAGAGAAGGGGGGAGTGCGTCCCTGTTAGTTCTCCTGGACCTCTCAGCGGCTTTCGATACCTTCGACCATGGTATCCTTCTGGATAGGCTAGTGGGATTGGGGGTTGGAGGCACTGCCTTGCAGTGGTTCCGCTCCTATCTCAATGGCCGATTCCAGAAGCTGGTGCTGGGGGACTGTGGCTCTGAACCATGGCAGCTATGCCATGGAGTTCCGCAGGGATCCATTTTGTCCCCTTTATCAGGCACTGTAAGATCTCCTGCTGCCCTCTTAAGGTTCCTCTCCCTCCATGCTTAGCTACAGCCCTTATAGTCAGTTGGGGAGAGATGGGCCATTTACCTCTGCGCCATGGCAGCCATGCCATGGAGTTCCGCAGGGGTCCATTTTGTCCCCCTTGCTATTCAACATCTACATGAAACCGCTGGGAGAGGTCATCCGGAGGTGTGGGCTGCGGAATCATCAGCGTA